TTTTTTAACGTAAAAACAACATGGCGAATCGCAGGCGTTCGTATGTTTTCTTCAGTCATAGCCCTTCACGTTCACCATTTGTGTCACCATTTGTTCAACACTTCACCGCGAGCCACGTGTCACCAGGTGTCACCAGCTCGAGAAAAGTCAGTCCTCCGTTGTCAGGCCTGTCTTGGTATTGATGACATTTTTTTTAAAGGTTTCAGGGTTTGGCACGAGCAGACATGAGTGAGTACATAGAATGGTAAAGAAGGCGTGGTCAGGTTGTAGAGTAGACGTGGACTAGTGCTAGGGGAGGCGTGGTCTGGTTGTAGGGTAGACGTAGACTAGTGCTAGGGGAGGCGTGGTCTGGTTGTAGGGTAGGCGTGGACTAGTGCTAGGAGAGGCGTGGTCTGGTTGTAGGGTAGACGTGGACTAGTGCTAGGGGAGGCGTGGTCTGGTTGTAGGGTAGGCGTGGACTAGTGCTAGGGAAGGCGTGGTCAGGTTGTAGGGTAGACGTGGACTAGTACTAGGGGAGGCGTGGTCTGGTTGTAGGGTAGGCATGGACTAGTGCTAGGGAAGGCGTGGTCAGGTTGTAGGGTAGACGTGGACTAGTGCTAGGGGAGGCGTGGTCTGGTTGTAGGGTAGGCGTGGACTAGTGCTAGGGTAGGCGTGGTCAGGTTTTATGGAAGGCGTGGACTAGTGCTAGGGGAGACGTGGTTTGGTTCTAGGTAAAGCGTAGTCTGGTCTAGGGGAGGCGTGGTCTGGTTCTAGGAGAGGCGTGGTCTGGTTCTAGGGGACACAATGGCAAACAAAAACAAATTTAAAAATGTAAAAAAAAAACCACATTCTCCACCCAGTCACGTGATGGCTGACCTACATTTTCACGACCTTTTTATTTATAGTAATTGTTTACATTTTTCTATTATTGACTCAAACTGTCCAAAATAAATCATTTACTTGTTGATGATGCGCTTATGACATTTTTAGCAAACAATTGTTTTAGTTTTAACTATTCATAAGCCTAGACAGAAATTTTTGTTTTATATATATATTGTTTGGTAATTTTTAAAAGCTTCTTTTATAAGCATGTTTCTATTTAGCTTTGGGACCGTTCGTAAATGACGTCAGACTGATGTGGGAGGGGGGGGGACTTAGGTGTCGATGTGCGACGAGGGGAGGGGGTGGAGTTAGAAACGTGAGACACCCCACTAAGCCTATGGTTTTTCAAAAAGTAATTTTTTTTCATGAACAGAATTTTAGAAGTGAGTTAGCCTTGAAAAGATATTAATTGCACATTTTAATTATTTTTTTTTGTCAATCACACACACACACATTCGCGCCACTAAACTTATTTTAAAATGAATAAATATATATGCTTTTATATTAAGCAATCATTACATTAATTATTACATCATACCCTACACATTTAGAAACAACAAAAATAAATATATTTAGAACTGTATATTTAATTTTAATCAAGTAAAAATAAACTAAGGGAGATAACCTATAACTATGTTCGCTAAAATTGTTGACAATTCAGTGTAGTTTACTAATTATAAAATATTAAACTACTTATTGCAACCTTAAACGTGAATACTACAACTCATACAGGGTACTTGTCCAATGTTTATATGCAATAGATTTTAGTATTATAATATGCCTGTTGTCTAAATAGGAAACTGCTAGCTCTTCAACATTTGTAATTTGTAGACACGTGAAAGTGACACTTAATCGACATACCGCAGCATCCATCAACATACAGTAAATATCAATAATCAATTTAAATATTTTTTTCAACCAGCCCTTGTTTTGTGTACATAAGTTACAAATATTCCCCCTTATTTACTGTAAGATGTTCACTCCTTCACGCTTCGTCAGCCACCACAAGCCACCCCACCTGCCCCATGTCTCCCAAACCCCTGCTACCACCATGACCCTTTTAACCTGCTACAATGATCGTACCGCCACTCCCATTCACCCCAACACCAACTTTGATTCGCTAGTTATTTTTCGTTTTCCTTTTCCTTCTTGAATTTTTTAAATTTACAAAATGTGATGAAAACTACGTAAAATAAAATAAAAAATTCTCAACAAAACTGTAAAAACATATAAGCATATCCTGGTAAAAATACCATTTTTGTATTTCTTTATTTCTAATTACCTTCATTTGAATTTTTGATCGACAAATCTTTTTTTTAGTAATGTTCACCATTTTGTTCTTGTAATGATATTTTTTTTAAATGTTTGAACTATGTGTTTATGCTGATGTAATTATTCCTATTTGAACAGTATTAAAAAAATATATTAAAAAATAATTTTAAAAAAATATCTTTTCATTTTCATTTTCTGTTTCTGGCCAAGGGTGGCTACAAGGTCAACTTTTGACTTCGCAGCTGAGGATGGAGCACAGTAAATCAAGCAGTCGAAAGAAACCGAGTTACAGTTACACACCCTATTTTAGTCTTGTTCTTATGCCATTTTACTTTCTCCATTTAATTACTACGAGCCGACCCGCGGCGTATCATACGCCGCTATTTGGTTGTTTTATTTTCTACTTTTCAGTACTTCATAATTTGTTAAATCGACAGTACCAATGCTGCCACTGAAAATATTTGCTTTAAAACATCTTCCCCCCCTTTTCCCCCAACCCCAACCCCTACCCTATACCCCCCCCCCCCCCGTGAAAGCAGCCTCCTCTTAGTTACCTCCTCTAAGTTTAAAATCGTTTCAAACTAAATTATCTGCCCCTAAACCCGGCTCTATGATTGTAAACATTTAGAGTGAACCACAGCTCACCAGACCATGTGGGGGACTGCAAGGCGCGCTTGCAGCTTGTTTTCTAATGTCTCCCAGAAGAGAATTATATATATATATATATATATATATATATATATATATATATATAAATAGATACGTATACAATAGATGTTCATGTCTTTGAAACTGTGTGAAACTACAAAATAAATTATTAATAACTATTTAGATCTTTTCTTAATTTTAGTGTTGGAAGGGATCCCAGTGTCAACTGGTTATGCGCCATTGAAGCTATTGACACCGATTTCAGCCTAATTTTCCTTTTGGATTTGCTTCCATGGCCTTTGTCCAAACTGTAACCACGTTTTATTTTTAAAATCTCTACCTTCCGATCAATTTTATTCTCTCCCTTGTTGTAGCGTGGCAGTTGCTTCCCTTGTCAAACAGTTTCCATGTTTGTTTACGTGCTTGCAAGCAGCTGAGCCCTATCAACACACACATCAGCTGAGTCAGGATCAGAGTTTCTTTCGGGTATCTCTTCGGGGGGGGGGGGGGGGAAGGGGTGTCAGTGCTCCCTCCCGGAAAGAAACCCACCGACCCCCCCCCCCCCCCCACCTCGAATAATCGAATAAAAATGTAATTTGGAAAAAATATATATACTTAAACTAGTGTCCCACAACCACCCCCCTCCGGTAGTTTTAGATGACCATTCCCCCCACCCCTCACCCACATCTTAAGAGAGAAGTGTCTGAAAGAAACGTTGGTCAGGATGGGTTTAATTTAGCAGTTCTCGCTCGCGTAAAACGTAAAACGAAAAGAATAAACCCTAACCCATTAAGAAGAAACACGGCAACGATAACCCTTACCCCTGGAATAACACGAGCAGTCAAAAGCCTTAGCTATCAATTATAACAAGTTGGAAATTAAATTTTAAAAATTAAATTGAAAATCAATTAAATTAATCGTAACCCGTAAACACAGCATACGTATACTAACCCTAATCTATCACAATATTTTAACACACTAACCTTCAATGCCAACCCTGACCCAGAGTGCTAACACTAGCAGCAGAGTTTCTTCCAGGCTCTGCCCCCCCCCCCCCCGAAGAAAGTCTACCGCTCCCCCCCCCCCCCCCCCCCCGAACGAGATGGAATTTATATTGTAAACATACACTTTTACTAGTGGACGCCCCCCCCCCCCCCGAGAAATGTCGACCGCCTCCCCCGAAAATTTCAAGTGCCCCCCCCCCCCCGGAGAAAAAAGTCTGGAAGATACACTGACTAGCAGTCGGCAGCCTTACTAATCCTAACCCACAATCACAGCGTACTTACACTAACCCTAATCCATCAGAATTTTTTTTATGACAAAACAAAACCAGCCACGGACATACTAATCTTGATGATAAAACCAAAACGTTAATTAAAGCACGTGATTATATGCAGGGGCGTAGCGAGGGGGGGGGGGGGCGGGGGGTGCGGACCGCACCGGGTGACACCATTTAGGGGGGTGACACCAAGGCAAAAAATAGCAAAATATATAGAGAAAAACTTGAGAGGGGGTGCAAATCGAAAGTTTGAGGGGGGGGTGCAAATCGAAAACTTGAAAGTTTGTCCCCGGAAAGGGTCGCTACGCCTCTGAGGGTGACACCATTAAGTGCCGCACCGGGTGACACCCGACCTCGCTACGCCACTGATTATATGTTTCCATAAAAGGACTTCAAAAAATAAATCAGTGTAGGAACATACATTTTAGTGCAAGAGGCATTAACCGTTACCTTCACCTGTAAATATAAAACGGTCATGCTTGACCTTTTACAATCTAATTATAGACATTATTTACATATGCGTGTAAACAAAATCCCGCGAGTTATTTTCCTCTACCTTGTTTTTTTACGCTTATAAAATCTCCATTCACCCCCCCCCCCCACACACACACACCTTTCGCCTCACACTGCATCTCCCACCCCCCCCCCCCCCCCCCCCCCCACCAGTACTCGATTAGCGACCCCCGACGACATAAAAACCATTCATTAGAACGATGTTATATATAGAAGCACTCGCGAGTGCCCTAATTGTTAATGCGCATGTGCAAACAGTATCTTCTTGACAAAAGCACGTTGTATTCTTCTCCTGTCTAATCTAGGCCAAAGTTTATTTTCTGTGTACAATGCATGGTATAGGCCTTACCACGTCATAATTTCTTTAACGATATCGACACACACACGCACACACACACACAAACACACGGACGTGTATGAATCTTACCTTAATAGATCCTCATTCGAAGAGCACAGAATGGAGTGTAGAATATAACAAAACAAGTAAAGTCCAAAATGAAATAAGAGAAATAGCGAAATGTGAATTTTGAAATTATTCAAATCTTTCTTGTAAAACGTAGGTCTGTTAATAATCGATCTATTTAACACGAAACAATTGAAGAATGTTTCCTTAATTTACATCTTTGAGATTTTATTCTTGAGAAAAAAATATTAATTAACAACTAGATCTATAAATAAACTTTAATTAACTACTGTCGTCACATATTTTTTTTTTACAAACGAATGACAAACGTCTGCAACGGTAACCCGAACTCTTCAGTGGCTAAAAATAAACAACTGACTTCTAGGTAGCGTCAGAGACGTGTAGTGTACACGGCGAGTTACTTGTCCTTTGTTTACATCCACTGTTCGTGTTAGCTGAAGTGTATCCTACCGGGAATGTGAACGATCTTCAGGGAAACAAATGAACCCAATCTCGTATCCGCCCCTGGCGACCTCACGTAATATTCAAAACAAGACACGAGTCACTAACCCATTGTCATTTACAAAGTATCGATTTATAGGCTATATATATATATATATATATATATATATATATATATATATATATATATATATATATTATATATATATATATATATATATATATATATATATATATATATATATATATATATATATAGTATATAGGCCTATAGGTCTATATACATATAGTCCTATATACATGTATAATTAAATATAGCATATATATACATGTCATGTACATGTAAATATATAAAATACATATATATCTATAGGCCTCTAGGGATATATATATATATATATATATATATATATATATATATATATATATATATATATATATATATATATATAAAAGCGTGTATATTATATATAGGCTATACTATAGATATATTTGTGTATATATATATGGCCTAGGCCTATAGTATTTATAATATGTAATGTATGTTTTATGTATCTTCTGGTATGTACTAATTTAAATAGTGCCTACTCGAATATTTGTTAATATATAATATATAACAAACACCATGGGGCGTAATAAATTAATATGCTACGTTCATACAAACTAAACAAATACAATTAAGGTAGGTAACATCTATTCAAAGTTTATCAAATTACATTAAAGTTAAAGCATTAATTATCTCTGTTTTCTTCAGTACTACTGAATTACACACTAGTACACACGGAATTTGAAAGCATTACAGTAATCACAAGAATTATCGCGTCCACAAATAAAATCCAAAAGAGAAAATCACCACTGTTTTAATAATAACATGTTTGTAAACAAACGCGATTTCTACACTTCTTAGCCCAGCGCAACCACTGCTAACTCTTACTACACTAGAGTTCCTTCCCCCTGACGCTCAACGCTGATGCTTGCCTACCTCGCGAGCGAAGCGACTACCACGGGTAGACAAGCGATCCGTTTCTTCACTCGCATCGCGTTGTCTGTCGGGAACAAACCTCCGTGAACTGGTGTTGTGAAGTCGAAGCAGTCTAATTTTTTTTTCTTTTTTTTTTAGTGCACGGGTAGAGAAGCTAAAAATAGTAACGGGAAGGGGCAGCCACCTATAATTCAGTTTGTGCTAGCGGGTTCAGGAGTTCGGGGTAGATTAAACGCACGTGTGAGAGTCGTTTTAATGGCGTGGAAGACATAGATAATCTACAATCTGATCGTGAAATAAAAAATGAATTAGGATGAAACGCTTGTAATAATAGGTGTTTATGGGCTTTACAGGACTACATGCAGTAACCCTTTCTATAAAAAGGGCAAGTTTTCGATTTTTATATAAATCTAGGTGTGAGTTGGAAGCAGAGTTTCTTCCAGGCATCTCATCGGAGGGGGGGGGGGGGGGTGCGGAGCCCCAACACCCCCCCCCCCCCTTTCCCCCCCCCCCCCCCCCCCCCCCGAACGAAACGGAATTTATATAGAAAATATATACTTTTACTAGTGTAGAAACATTGTTCGGAAGTGGCACAAAAAGCCTATATCTGAGTCTATAATATACATAACAGTAACCAAACAATTCGGACATAGGTCTGTCAATAAGAGGTGTATTGACCAACACGCATATTGGCCAGCCAATGAGTGCATTCGCCAATTTCTTGCTGTGGCCGCAACTCACAAACACGCACAAACACACACACACACACGCACATATATGTTTGTGTATATATATATATATATATATATATATATATATATATATATATATATATATATATATATATATATATATATATATATATATATATATATATATATAGGTTGAAGTTCGCTTTTAAAACTTCTTTTCAGTTTGAATATTAACTCCCATTACTTTTTTTAAACGTGTTAACATTTTGTATATGTTTACATTTGTCGTGTCATTTATGAGCCTCAACTGACGATAAAAATGGAGTGAACACTCCTTTGGGTTATCTACCCTTTTTTCAATGCCGTGTTGATGTCATGGCCGCCGGAAGTCATGGCGTGGAAGAAGCCCGCCATTGTTTTCCCTCGAACAAGCCACGCCGGTGTTCGCCTCGACATGAAAGAGGTTACTACTAATGAGCTCTATTGGCCTGCGCGGCTAATTTCCAAAAGCTCGCACAAAGGATAGGCTCTGGTGGACTTAGAAAAACATGGGTTTTCTGCTTGAAGGATTTTTTTTTTAAATCTAAGAAAGAAAAAGTCTAACAAGCCAACTATTGTGTTGTGTTAAAGTAAGCATATACTAGAGTTATTGTCACCATAGTCGGGCCTCATCCTACCCTCCACATCATTTAACAGTAGAACTTTGTGTAAATATGGTGTTTAAGTGCATACTTTAATCTTTTGGTTCCGAATCAGATTTTACTTGTACTCACATCCGCACGCACGCACACATATCTGTATCACAACGGTTCTATGACAAATTCCTGAAAGATACTTGCTCGAAAGCCATTTGTCCCAAGGCTATTTTCCCGAATGGAAACTTGCCCGAATACGACAAATGCCCGAATGGAAACTTGCCCGAATACGACAAATGCCCGAATGAACATTTGCCCTTAGTGTAGCTACATCTCTTCAATGTAGGTGGTCACTTTCTGGGTAGGTTGTCCCCTCCCTTGTAGGTTGTCCATTTCAGTTTCCGTGTGGTCCCCTCCATAATAGCTTGTCCCTTCAGTGTCTGTGGCCCGCCTTAGTGGCAGTGGTCCACTTCAGTGTAGGTGGTCCTTTAGTGCTGTAGAACCCGAATCAATTCAATGAACACCTTTGTGCAAGCTTAATCCAGATCGGTCATTGTCCCAGCTCAAAATGGCGTTGAATTCTAACAACAATTCAATTAATACACCATCTACATCAGTTAAAGGGCGAAAACCTGAGATAATCCGGCAGGTAAAAATGATAAAACCATACAACCCACTTTTAAATCGTTAAAATTTAAGCCACAAAAACCAGTGCGTATCTTCTTCTTTCCTTGATGCACGACGTACTTTAAACCTTTCGTTAGCTGTGTTTTAAAGAAGATGACTTGCAGTGATAAGTATTCAAGTGAACGCGCTATCGCTGCGAGGATATATATATATATATATATATATATATATATATATATATATATATATATATATATATATATATATATATATATATATATATATATATATATATATATATATATATATATATATATATATATATATATATATATATATATATATATATATATATGCAGGTCATCATTGAACCAAACAGTGTGGCCTAGAAACAATGCTAGTTGAATAACAAATGGTAGGCCATACTTAATAAATGTAAATGAAACTTTAACTATTGAGATGATATGCTCTGGAGATCATGTAATTTCTATAATACAAAAAGTAGACCCTATTTTATTAAATTAGTTCTAACATTTACCCAGAAACTTTATAAGTTTATTACACACATAGTTTACTAAAGTCGTCATCATCACCCTTGCTGGGGTATGGGCCGCCAACCATAGATCTCCATAGTCATCTGTCCTATGCCATTTTCTCAACCTCCAGGTGTAGCTCATCTTTGTGGTTTCAGCCTCAAGTGTTTCTTGGTCGAGCTCTTTTGCGCTTTCCTTGAGGATCGACCTCAATGTCTGCCTATTCATATATATATATATATATATATATATATATATATATATATATATATATATATATATATATATATATATATATATATATATAGTCTGCCCAGTGTGTGCCCCATCAAATAACATATTCTTAGTTCACCATCAGCGGCAAATGATATATATTTCCCCGCCCCCTATATGTCAACCGGATCCTCGGCATTCTACTATTGCTTATGTCTAAGTCCGCCACTAAAAAATGGTGCAGTCAACCACTTTTTACTACCATTACCAAACATAAAGTCTCGTGAGCAAGTCCCCCCCCCCCCTACGAAATTTAAAAAAATATGAAACGCAAAGCAGAACCATTTTTACAAGCTTTTATTTAACTCACTTCCTCTGTCTGTCTGTCTGTCTAGATCGAAACGCTGGAGTGAAAATTCGGACAGTTCTACTTGACCGATACGATTCACATTTGACACGTGGGTCAAGACATGAAGACAATGCAATCTGAAATTAAATTTGACTTAATTGGATGCCTAATTCATTTTTTTATGAATTAATTACAAATTGGACCGAATTAGTAGGCATGTCTATCCAACCACACCACACTAAAAAGTAGAAAATAAATTATACACTACTATTTACATTACTATAAAGAAAAGCTTGGGTCTCTTCTCAATTATTAGTAAAGGTATCCAATAGGTACTAAAGTATTAAAGTGACCCACGCTTTTCTTTATAGTAATTTAAATAGTAGTGTATAATTTATTTTCTACTTTTTAGTGCATTAGTACATAAAAGCTTGTTATTAAAACGTTTTTTATGAATTTTTTTTATGATTTTCAAGAACCCCACTCTCGGAACAAAATGTCAGAAAAAATCAGTTCAAAAGGATGGCCTTGGCGCTGTTCTTTACCCCTCCCGCGGACAAACTTTCAATTTAGCGCCCCCCCCCCCATATATTTTTTTGTTTATAATTCAAAACTGCAGCTAAAAAGAGCTTTTAATTTTTTCCCTACCCATTTTAGCGCCCCTAGGGTCGGCGCCCGGGGACATATGTACCCCCCCCCCTTCTTTCGCTACGCCTCTGGCTCTTTATATGCTGAAGGTAAAATAGAAAATGTGCTCACGATAGTCTGTATAGCGGGGAACGTAATAAAAACCAGACATGATATTTTTAACGAATGTTCATGTTCCTAACGCGAGCGGGAGACTTGACATCGCTGGAAGAACGTGAACGACATTGAAAATGTTAAACAACTGAAATGCCTTACTTACACTCAAAGCCGCCTCCACCACCCCCCCTACAAAAACACTTTTTATAATAGACGTGTCAGCACTCTCAACCAGATACAACACCTACCCATTCGTGATAGGGCAACGTTGTTATAAGCAATTCGGTAGTTTCATCGTGATCGTATTTTAATTCCTTTAGTCACGAACGCTAGAACTAGAATCACCATAATGTAATCTATTTTCAAGGGGGGTAACTATAATATTAGTGAATTGGGGAAAGATTTGTGCTGTTATTTCCCCTGATGCATGTGCTTATGTGTAGATCCGCCCAATTTCTAAGCTTCTTTGGTTATTAATATCATCACTGAATTTGTTTTTAGACATTGTTCATTTTTTTCTGAGAAACATTTCTTATTAATAAAGCTATAGGCTACCTTTTGTGGTTGTATTCATAAATTCACAAACTCCAATTGCAGCCTATATTTTAGACTAAAAATGTTTTTGAACAACTTACTCAGATATTGTCAACAATACTTATACATTAACAACCTATACAAGTCTTTTCAACTAGTCAGTATCCATATCTACTGTAATTATTTAAAATGCTGACGAAGCAGGTGAACTCTACTTCATCTGACTTTAGTTTAATAGTTCTAAGAACAAAATTGATAAATTTAAATACTAAAAAAAACTTGTATTATTAAAAAAAAAACAACCGACAAAATTTGTTTTAAAACTTTATTTTGATCAATCACAAAAATGTCCACAACATAATTTAACACTGTATGCCAACTACAACCACTCAGACAGGCAAGATTTTATCCAAACTTCTCTAAACAACTGACAATCTTTTCTAGCATAAAAAAATTCAACCATGGACACTGGTTTAGACAGTGTGTGACTTAAAGTCAAATGGATCCCATGAGCTAGCCTTGGATATGGTTAACCATTCTTAGGAGGTGATGCAAACACAAACAGAGAGTAAGCAGTCCAGATTGTCGCCACACTAACAAGGCTGACTGCAGTTATATACAAGGCATTGTCTTTTGGCAATTTCTTCCAAACTGGGTTGCCATCTTCTTCCTAAGAAAGAAAAAAAATTGGTAATTAGCATTTTAATTTTTAACATGCATCTTATAAACCTATTTTCACAACAATTGTATTTAGAAATACAATAATGCTACTGCTACCTAATTCAAATCTTAAAACCATGTAGAAATCTTAAAAACAAGTCATGTTATATGATGTAACTTATCACCAGTAGAACTGAACAATTGAATACGCTCATTCATCAAAATAAAAAAATAAAAAAAGTAGGGGTAGGTGTATACAAGCATTGAAAACATCACAGCAATGCAGTTAAAGAATACTTACTAGGAACAAAGTTTGTCTCTCCATAAATGCTTTGTATCCTGGTGTATCAGGAATAGGGTATTTCCCAGGGCCTACTTTCTTCAGTGGCGTAGAAAGAGATGAAACACGTCTGGCAACAATTCTACTCAACATTTTCTACGCAAAAAAATTAAAATAATTTTTTAAAATAAGATAGGCAAAATATTAGCTGGCATTGTATACTATTTTGTATTAGTACAAACTAGAGTTCTAGACTAGATCTATTATAGTCAGTGTTTTTCTCCGGGGGGGGGGAGGAGGGACGGAGCCCCTGAAGAGATGCCTTGAAGAAACTCTGATTATAGTAACTTAGTAAGTAGCCTGAAGTAGTAGGGTCTATATTAAAGTTAATTAAGTATTAAGTATTATTTATGTAATAAAATAAAGATCTACTATGGTATATAGATCTAGATCTAGATCTAATATGTAGTATGTATGTATTATGTAGCACATCATTTTTCAGTTCTAAAATCATGATTTCTAGATTGATCTAATCTAGCTAGATCTAGATTTAAGATTTCTAGTATATTAGATCTGTAGAATCTAGACCTCAATTCTAGATAATAGATAGATCTATATTAAATATAATAATGGATATTAGATATAGATCCCTAGATTTAGATTTCTAGAATCTAAATGATATAGGTACTAGGATAAATTTTGAAAATTGGTTTAATAGGGAAACAACCACTACAGTTAAAAGGAGCAAAAAATTACAATAACAGAACAGTTTTCCTTTTTGATGTAGCTCAAACGGTTAAATAGTTATGATTTTTTTTTCGTATTAAAAAAGGTGATTTTTTTAACATAGGTTTTTTCCCAATTTCTGTGATAGAGTTTTTTTAAGCGTTTACTAAAATTGTCCTAGCTTGTTAACCATATGGTCAAATTGGTTATAACTTTGCAATATCTTTATCTATCATATATGCAAGGATAATAAAGAATAAAATTAGAAATTTATGGGCAGAGTTAACCAAAAACAGAAGTAGAACAGGGTACCCCCCCTATTTTTTCATATACAGTGCATTCATAAAATCTCAGTTAAAATTTTAACACTTTGAAAAATTAAGCTCAAACTTGCTGAGAATGATGAGCTATGGATGTGTCAGTTATTACAATCAAAATAATATTCATAACTGAAAAGATTTTTGTTTTAACTGCTACAAAGCTGATAAATTATACAATTTCGCAAAACCGAAGTCTTGTTGATGTGAAATGCAACATGATGGCAAATTTGAGTTATTAAGCACTTAAGTCTCAAAATTTGCCTGGCTCTAGATGACTCTATTCTCAAACAGAAACAATCAAAATATGTATTTAAATCTATCTGTTTGGCAAAAAATAAGGGGTGGAACAGGGTACACCCCCTATTTTTAAATATGAAATTTGTTCATATACTATTTGTTTACGCTCAATCTATTTGAATCTAAAGCTAACAGCTAACTAGAGTGAAGCTCTAAAATAAGTGTGTGTGATGGTTCTATCTAAATAGTTGACAAATAGGTAAAGGAAGGTAAAAATGTAAAATGCTGAGTCATCGACACACCTGACATCATTGAAAAACTGAGCGCATATATTTAAATTTAAAAAAAAAAAGGCAAATTATATCTATTAGAAATGTAAGGTGTTTTATTCGTATAAATGTAATAAACTTGTTGGTATACTTATATATATAGTTTAATTTAAAAAGATGTGTTTCTGCTTATTCGTTAATATATTACATTTCAGGAGAAGTTCAACATTGGTTGGTTTTTAAAGGAAATAGTTCATATCACAAATTAATTAGTTTGCCTAAATAAAAGATAAACACATTATTTATTTTAATAGTTTTAATTTCTCGTTTACATAGTGTTCCATCATTAGACCATATAACTGACATTAGGCCATATAACTGCTTATCATATTGTAGAGATGTGCTGGTTTTAGAAGTGTAGGTTCTACCTGGAAAAGTAAACAGTACAAGTACATTATTTGCCTTCCCATCAAAATAAAAAGGTTTTCTGAATACACCAAATATTTAATGTGTATTGTTAATACCAGACCTTCCTTTCTCCCCCCCCCCCCCCCCTTCACTACCGTCAATATCAAAACAACGCTCGCCACTATCGCCGGCGTCAAAACAACGATCGTCGGCGTCAAAACAACGTTCGCCACTATCACCGGCGTCAAAACAACGTTCGCCACTATCAAAACAACGCTCGTCGGCGTCAAAACAACGCTCGCCACTATCGCCGGCATCAAAACAACGCTCGCCACTATCAAAACAACGCTCGTCGGCGTCAAAACAACGTTCGCCACTATCGCCGGCGTCAAAACTACGCTCGTCGGCGTCAAAACAACGTTCGCCACTATCGCCGGCGTCAAAACTACGCTCGTCGGCGTCAAAACAACGCTCGCCACTATCGCGGGCGTCAAAACAAAGCTCGACATAATCGCCAGCATCAACACAGCGCTCGCCAATATCGCCTGCGTAAAACAGCGTTTCCCACTATCGCCAGAGTCAAAACAACGATCGCTATTGTCAAAACATCGCCCGCCACCAACGCCCGAGTCAAAACAGCGTTCGGTACTATCACCAGTGTCAAAACAGCGTTCGCCGTAAGCGCCAGAGTCAAAACAGTATTCGCCACTAACGCCCGAATAAAAAAGGCGTTCGCTACTTTTGCCGGCGTGAAAACAGCGTTCGCCATTATCGCCCGAGTCAAAACAGCGTTTGTCACTATTGCCCGAATCAAAACAGCATTCGCCACTATCGCCCGAATCAAAACAGCGTTCGCCACTATCGCCCGAGTCAAAACAATGATCGCCACTATCGTAATTACAGTAATACAAGCATATCAGCTAGACTAAGTCACACAAGTGTTAGTAGCGAGACCCGACAACTTCCGGTTCACTTTCACTTCCAGTCTGTAAACAGTTAAAGTCCCAAACAGTACACCAAACTGTGAAGCGTTTTGCAGCTAAGAGACACATCCAATCATTACGATTTTTTACAGTAATAGAGAAAAATGGATAATAATGGAGATTATGCAATAAAATTTCAAGTAGAGCCCATAGAGAAGTTTAGGGAATAAGTCAAACTTACCTTATTTTCAATGAAACACTCCATAAAAAATAGTCCATGAAAATATTTTTAAAAAATATATAATACGCTAAGTCCATTTTTCTTCAAAATAATACTCCTCGCAATAAAATTGACCAGGCAAAAACGGAGAATAATAAAAATTACGAACACTCGCACTCGCGCGTCCGCCAACTCTCGATATTTGGGTAACGGGAGGAAAATCTCGCCGCGCATCGTAAAACGGGAGCCAAATCCTAGATCTAGTACCTACTAAAATCTAATCAATCTAGATCTAGATTCTAGACTAGAATATTCTAGCTAGAGGCATTAGAACTAGAGTTTAGAGTCTTAGATCTAGATCTAGAGTTTCTTCTAGGCGGAGCCCCCCCCCCCCCCCCCCCAAGGAAATTAAATTTATATAATTTATAGGCCTATCCTATAACTATAGATTATAGACTCTAGATCTAGAAAATATAAAAAATATAGAATCTATACTTTTAACAATGTCCGCCCCCAACCCCTGGAGAAAGTCTACCGCCCCCCCCCCCCCCTTCGACAATTTTAAGTTTTAGAATCTAGCTAGATCTAGATATCTAGATTCTAAATCTAGATTCTAGATCTGGAAATCTAGATCTAGAATCTAGATCTAGATCTCTAGATCTAGATCTAAAAAATGATCTAGACTACTAAAAATACAGGATAAAAGTAAGTAATAATATAAACAATATCTCTTATTATCTATAGATAGGAAAACAAACCAAGCCACGATTAAGATGAATAACACACTGACGTTTGTTAACAATCATCAACAAACTGAATTCTGTTTACTTGTTTACTCACTGTTTAGAATCTACGTCTGAAACTACGAACGAAATTATTAGGCGCCACACCATCCGGAAATGTGTGTGATTACGTCATCATTTCTTGCTGCGGGCAGCATTAGGCTAGCCTACAACTCGTTCTGTCATCCAAAAATAAAAAAATATTTTTAAACAAAGCGCTATTACGTCATCAGTATCTGCGTGGTTAGTCTATTAGTATGATTTGTTTAATTAATAATTTAGTATAGACGATCCAGCCCTATTTTTTATAAGGTAACCACTAAATCAATTGGCCCGACATTGTTTTTTTTAAAGTTGGCCCAACAGATAAATAGTCTCGTAATTATACAAAAGGTCCATTATAGGCCTAGGCCTACATTTTTTTTTTGACCATGTACGATGTAAATAAATACAAAAATCTGTTTGATTTTTGTTCGATTTTACTAAATATTGTGCTTTTTTTTGTATATTCAATATCTTAAATAAGTTTTCTAAAAAAGGCAAAAACAAATCTGTTTACATTTTATGTACATTTTAGGTAAACAAAAAAGGCAAGAACCAGGTCTTGAAGTTTAAATTAATTAACTTAAACATTTTATCGCACTGGACACCCCCCCCCCCCCCCCACCCCTTAACTCTCATTTCATACCAGAACTGCTAATTCTCGATAAGGTCGTCAAATTGTCTGCGAGTCGACATTGGTTTGCTCTTGTTGTGGGAAGGTCGGGTTTATAGACAAAATTAAACTCATTAAAGACCATTTCAGTTAGATTAATAATAATGTTGAATAAGAAATAAACTTCCATTTTTATTACATTATCCCCAAATTTAACCTATCCTATTGCAATATTAATACAAAACAATAAAGCACGATATTAAATGCTAAAATTTATTAGTCACGAACGTAGGAATAATCAAGATGAATGTTCTTTCAAAGGTAACAATTATATTAATACATTGATTCGAGGGAAATGTGTTGTGAGATACGGCTCTTGATAACTGTCGTTAACAGTTTAATGTGTTCCAATAAGGGGTCGTCCATAAATGACGTCACATTCGTAGGGGGGAGGGGTCCGTATTTTTGTGACGGTGTGATGAGGGGGAGGAGGTTCAGTGTGTGCGACGTCACACTTTTGTATTATAAAAAAGCAATGTTAGAAAACGAGTTTTAGCCGTTATTTCACGTTCAAGAAAACGGTTTTAGTAAATTGTAATAGGAACTGATCAAAATACTCTATGTTGACAGAGTTCTGACAAGATGTTGGAAAAATATCGACAATATCGATGTTTTAAGAAAAATTCAACAGCAATTTTGAGGGGGGGGGGGGGGGTTGTATGCTGAGGTGTTACGTCATTTTATGGGGAAGGAGGTCTGGCTTTTTGTGACGACGTGTGACGGAGGGGAGGGGGGAATAAAAATCGTCCAAAAAAGCGTGACAACATTTATGGATGACCCCTAACACTGTGTAAAAAAGTAATCATAATTATGCTGGCAAAACAGGTCGACTCCATCGGGTTTTTAGCTGCGAAGTCTCAAATGGGAAGTTCAAGTATAATTAAACACTTTAACCCACGGGTTCCCAACCTGGGGGTCGCGACCCCCTTGGGGGTCGCGAAGGGCTTTCTAGGGGGTCGCCAACTGGTATACTAAACCTAAGCAATGAGAAACAAAACTTAAATATGTAGAAGAATATCTGAAATTTGGCTTTACTAACATCACTAGAAATGGAATAGAGAAGAAACAATGCATACTGTGCAAAGTTGTTCTTAGGAAATCTTCAAAACTAAAACCTCATTTTGCGACGAGTCATTCGGAACACACCAAAAAACGATATGAAGTACTTAAGTCGGCGTGAAGCTAGTCGCAAACGTTAGAGACTTTATCGAATTGAAAGATAAAATCAAGTTGTTCTTGTAAGTGCAAACGATATAAGACCTTTTGATATTCTTTGACGACAAAGAATGGTTGGAGGGAGCAGAGTTTCTGCCATGCTTCACTCCAACCCCCCCTCCCAGAAGAATGTCTATCGCCCCCCCCCCCCCCCCCCCCCCCCGAACAAAATGGAATTTATGTAGGAAATATATATATATATATATATATACTTTTAACAGTGTCCCCCTCCCAAGAAAAAATTTGTCCGCCCCCTCACCAAAAATTTCAGGTGCCCCCCCCCCCCCCCCCCCGGGAGAAAAAAATCTAGAAGAAACACTGGGAGAGAGTATCATACATAACCTTAACCTGAAGTTTCTGGGAAAATGAACGAATAGAAAATATTATTTTAGTGCTTATTAATTTCCTTACTAATTTCGACTTTTTAATTCTATGGGGGTCGCGGGTCACTTTCTTTTTATAAAAGGGGGTCGCCACTCGAAAAAGGTTGGGAACCACTGGTCTAGATGTTGCAGGGGATGCCTCTAAGATAACAAGGGAGATAACCAAAAATATATTAGCTTATGGGAAAACGCTTTAGATGTCAAGTCCCTTGATAACTGTTGAAAATCAATCTTTAAAATTAATTCGTAGTGTAGATCCGCATAATTTTAATTTCTTTCTTTGGTTGTCGTTCGTGCATTTTTAGACTATGCAGTTTTTGCCACAATACACTTTTAAACATTTACCTGGTGTGGTTGTATTCACAAAGTAACAAACCGCAATTAAATTTAGGCCTATTTAATAGGATTGGTAAAAAAAATAAAAATAGTACAATATTTGCTCAGACACCATGTCAACCTGTTATGGTCTGTTTGGCTAATTGGGGACAGCCCCTGAGCCAGCAACATCTGTGTCTCTCTTGTCATATTGTAATAACTTCAGCAATCACCTCTACTGTACTCCTTGAAAAGCTGACAAAAGAGACAAACTCTACTTCATCTGACAAATCTTCAAAGAACCATACAGGTAGAAATTAATATTTATCGTTAATTTCAATTCTTAAAAAAAATCTAAAAAAAAATTTAAATATAAAGTCTATATTTTTTTTTATTCAATTACAAAAATGTACACAACACAATTTATGTAATATTCTGTATGCACAACATAGGCCAACTACAACCACTCAGACAGGCAAGATTTTATCCAAACTTCTCTAAACAACTGACAATCTTTTCTAGCATAAAAAAATTCATCCATGGAGACTGCGTTAGACTGTGTGTGATGGATCCTGCGAGCTAGGCTTGGAAATGGTTAATTATTCTTGGGAGGTGATGCAAAGACATACAGAGAATAGACGGTCCAGGCTGTTGCTACACCAACAAGGGCGGCTGCAGTTCCAAACAAGGGCTTGTCTTTTGGTAATTTTTGCCAGACCAGATGGCCGTCATCTTGCTGAGAAAATAATTTAAAAAAAGGGTCATAGAGGTTGTTTTTTTTTTAGAAACATTTTACTATCTTTTACACTGCTAATACTAACCCCTCTGAACAATATCAAATGTTAACTCCTATAAAACTGAATTATTAATAGTATATATAATCAATCATTACAATAAAAAAAAAGCATTGAAAACATATTGCTATAAACACAGAATACGCACTAGAAACAAAGCTTGTCTCTCCATAAATTTCTTGTATGCTGAAGTGTTGGGAATGGCATAGTTCCCAGGGCCTACTTTCTTCAGTGGCTCGGCAAGAGATGAAAAGCGTCTGGCAACAATTCTACCCAACATTTTCTAGAAAAAAATAAAAATCATTCAATTAGGTGGGGACATTCTCTACTATTATGTAATATTGAAAAAACATCACTAATATTGGTTATAAGCATCGTCTAATTTTTCTTACATGAAAATAAGATAATTTTATTAAAAACTAAAAATATAGACTACCATAACACAGAAATGGTCATATTAGGCTATATACTTAATTAAAATACATTATGTTTAACCCAAATGAGTTTTAAAGTAAAAAGCTGAAATAAGTAATTAAATATGTTACTATATGACCAATAAACAAAATATGGGAGGTTCTGCACACCATTGTCTTCTTTTAAAAAAGGGATGTTAGGTTACTAATAGTTAACTAAAATACACACATATCTAGCCAAATTTAATTGCTAACCCGCTCTCTAACCCCAAAACTAGTTGAGATTACAATACAACTATTAACCCAACACACATATTTTTGGAAGAGTCTATTATCAGACATCATCTTCCATTATCCCAGAACATTACTCAATATTAACATAGCTGAATAGCTAGGGCATTTTTAGACATGGTTTTTAAATTTTAGGCCGATTCTAGCCGGAATAAGATACGCATGTGATACGCATGCGCAATGGAGAGAAACTACGACTTGCCTTAGCGGCGATGTTTTCGATGGTACTGCGCATGCGTGTGTTTACAACCGCAGAACCCTAACCCTAATCCTATCCCTAACCCTACCCCTCATTCTAGCGATAACCCTAGCCATAGGTCACTGCGCATGCGCAGAGCTATCTTTTGCCGACTAAGTGGAGACGTTGGCGAGAAAAATCTTCTTCCGAGTAGACACTTCGTAAATTTTAACCCTCCCCCTGAACTTTTAAAATAAGCACCAAAGACCTACACCCTCACTTCAAGTGCAACAGTACTGTTGTCATGTGTAAAGCGTACAATATTTAAATGTCCCCTCATACTTTTTATATATATAGATACCCCTAACCCCCCCCCCCCCCTTTCCTACGCCACTGCACGGGTCCCAATAGCGGCCGTGGCTATTGGGACCCGGGTCCGAATAGATGCATCCTTTGTCACTTTGTGTTATAGTTATAACTGTTATTACTATTATTATTACTGAATTATATTAACAAAAAAAACTCCCTAGTTATTTCATATTTTTATTTCATTATTTGTCATTCATTGAATTTCAGAAAATTTAATTGATTAGCCTTAGCGTAGGGACTTGGATGACGTAGATTTTGAGGCACTAAAAACGAGAGTTTTCTGCCCATACCGAGTTTCGTCGATTTAGCCGTGCGGTCGCGGGTGATGATCGAAAAAATTTTTTTTAATTATAAATCGCCGGTGCTACTAATAATTTGATGACTGATTCTGAAAAACAAATGGATTTAATATGTTACGGTATTTTTGTTTTGAGATTTTGTTGAACGTGAAAACGGATTTTTGGAGCCAAACTTTGGCTACGTAAAACTCTTTGTACCATAAAAACTTACTAACAAGGAAGGCCAATAAAAAGCCCTCCGACCATAATCACCATTTTTCTTTATGTGTGTAAATTTTCATAATGTTAATCGATAGCAAAGTATTTTTTTATAAATAGTTTAGAAAGTATAGGCTTAAGCCATTTTACGACTACCGGGAAAGACAGAGGTTAAAACCGGAAGTGTACTTGTGTTGTTAATGACGCCATTGCTCTCAATTGAATTGATTTGTAAATCCAGCAACATCCACACGAATCTGACTTTAAAATCATTTTAAATTATAGAATTATATTTTATATTGATAAAACTATGATTTTTTGTTGACTTTGTGCGCATATTTTCTATTTAGATTCATTTTTTTTGTAATTTTGAGTTAGATCTAAAAATAGATTTCTGCGAAATTTTTCAAGTTGAATTATTGTTTCATTTTAATTGTATGGCCTAGATATAGATCTATGTTGTTCTTAAATGAGTTCTGTATTTTATATTAGCTATCATTATAGTAACTTGTGTACTTTCCACATTTTTCTTAAATTTTAAAGCTTGATATAGATCTAGAATCTAATATAAAATTCCATTTGCCTATCATTTGGTCTATAAAATATAAACTAAACCAATAGGGTAATTCTATATTAAACATTTAGCCTTTTGATTGCTTTTCAAGCGAATTTTTATTACCAATATTACTAATATTCAAACATGTTAGTAGTCCTATATTTTCTTTATAGCTCTAGGACTTTGTTCGTTTTAGATTTATTACTAAATTACTACAATCCTTGTACAATGTTCTGTCTTCATCTGTAGGCCTATTTGAAGTACATATGATACTACTGTATTGTTGCTGTAGTATACATCTCAGTTGCTTTTTTACTAGTCTTGGCCCTAGATAAAATGTACCAGTTCAGCAAGGGGATAGAGAATCAAAAGATGTGGATCTACTCATAAGCAACTTCAATGAAGGAGAAATAGGTCCACTTAAGAATGGATGTTGCTGGTTTTTATTACAGTTCTAAAAGCTATCAGCCAGAGGAGACACAGCTTCAGTAGATGTTTAATCAGATTTCATTTTTAAATCATTGATGGTGTTATTTTTTAAAGTAAAAATGTGATACAAGCTAACAGACTTAAACATGTTATCCACACAGCATGAGATGTCACTTAAATATATGACACATGTTTCTAAATTATAAAACTTACCTTTAACATTAAATGGTGATCATTACTCCACCAATAAAAAAATCATTTCAATTATTAAATTATTTGTTCAACAATAATTGTAAATTAAATTATATCAATTCTATGATAACATACACATAACATGGATGAAATATCATGCATATTGACAACATTTAGATACAATTTTAGTTATCTAAAATCAGTTTAGCATAGTACTTCTTTCTTGCAAAAAAGTAGTTGCGCAGAACAAAAATGACTTTTTAAATTTGACCAACATTGTAACAAAACCACATAAGCTAAGTGAAATATTTTTTCTTTGTGTGGATGTATACAATGTTGGCACCAATTAGGCCAATTTTCATTAAGATATTCCATATAATAAAAATTTGGCAACAGATTATGTGTTGCCTATAGCAGAATTTATTGTTTAATAATTAAGGGGGGTATATGAGTTTAAACCCCTTTTTCATTAAATAAAATACTTTTAAAATCAAATTTGAACAAAGGAAATATCAAAGTATATAATAACCTTCATGTTTACAATATTTCTTGCATATAAGCAAAGTAATCTAAAATCAGCTCAACATTGTACTTCTTTCTTGCAAAAAAAGTAGTTGCGCAGAATAAAAATGACTTTTTTATTTTGTCCAACATTGTAATAAAACCACATAAGCTAAGTAAAATATTTTGACTTTCTGTTAATGTATACAGTGTTGGCACTATTCAGGCCAATTTTCAGTAAGATATTCCATATAATAAAAATTTGGCAACAGATTGTGTGTAGCCTATCAAAGACGCTTATTCAAAAATTTTAGGGGGGTGACCCTCTTTGTTAACATTATTTTTTATGATCATTCTCATCCAATTCAATTATTTTTATCTTACTCTTTTACTGATATCATAAGCTTGATCTTAGTGAATTTTCATTAAAAAATACCTGCTATTTAAAAAGTTACAGAGATTTTAGTTCGCATCCAAAAAAGTAGGGAAGCAAAAAATTGAGAAAACCCCATAGTAAAAAAACCCGAAAATTAAATACATTAAAAATTAATAACTTCGTAACCGTTTGAGCTAAAATTAAAATAAAAGTATCTTTGTTCTTGTCTAAATGAGCTCTATAAACTGGTAGATCTACTAGATCTACTACATATTTTATTTTTTTAAAAATGAAATTTCATCCAAGTCCCTACCTTAGCGGCTGATTAGCCGCAAGTAAGTAGACTACTTATTTGCTTTTTAATGAACGAACGGAATTATTTGAACAAATTTAAAGAACGGTTCTTCTAGTATGGTCATCGCTTTCATGTTCACAGCATTTTAAAAAATTAATTGTATTGAGACCTAGCCTAAAATAAATTAATTTTAAAAAAATCTGTATTACTATTACCTTGCCTTGTTGTCCTTGATGTACAATTTGATTGCCAGTTGCTTTATGCATCTAATTTCTATTATTATATCACGTATAGGTAATTTCAGACATCATGATTTATTTTCTTGTGTCTACATTAAATTAATGACCAATTAAACGAAAAATGTTGCTTTTTTATACTTATAAATTATTTTTAAGCTGGTAAAATTAATACAATTGTTAAAATAGGTTAACTTAAGTAAATTTTTTCTGGATGGACTTTAGATGTCTGGTACAAACTGGCATTTTATGAACCTATAATAAAAAACAAGAACTCCGGAAACTTAAATCAGCATCGCTCTTTGACTAAATCGAAATATTTAGTCTTAGGCCTAATTCGCACTCAAGATTTTTTAGCGCAATTTCCATTCTGGAGAATTGCGTTTATTAACCCGTCATTTCTGGATGGATGGATGGATGGATGGATGAATGTGTGTCCGCAGCTTTAAGTCGTATCTCCTCCTCAACGAAGCAATATCGAGGACTAGTTCCAAAAGCAAATATGTTAAGCAAGTTACGAGGATGAGCATAGGCCATAAAAATTCCGGGTTTCTTTCATGGATTTCCCGGAAAAGCCAAAAAACCTCGGAAAAAAGCAGTTTTTGGCCCATATCTCGGCAACCAGACCACTTAGCGACTTGAAACATGTACCAATCGATTCCTGACATAATTTAGAACAATATTGCCTAAGAAAGTTTTCAAAAATATCCTTTCGTTCGGTCACAAAAAAATTTTTTGAATTAATTAAAATTTTGACCGAATTAGTAGGCATTTTTTCCAACCACACCACACGCGTCATCACGTTCAATAGCTGCGCCGTCACGTTCCATGGCTGCGCCATCATGATCAGTAGGCGCGCAATGGTGTTTAGTCATGTAACTCTATTGTAAATAAAACATGTAAAATACTGAAAAAAAATTAATAAAAAACGTTTTAATAACTAACCAATGGTTTTACTAACCCTGCTCTTGATTTACGCTACGACAGAGCTATTTTTAGATAACATAAGGAAATTGCGCTAAAATTGTCACTAGACTTTTTAATTACCTTGTTTTAAATTAAATTTAAAGGGTCATTCATAAAATGCGTCACGGGTAGGGGCACCTAAAAAGTGAGGTTGGAGGGGGGTGGCTTTCGATTTTTGGATTATTCCTTCCTTGGAACTTTGGCAGAATTTAAATAGTATTAAAAATAAAAACAACCCAATGCAGTCTCAAGAACAGAATACATATGTATATTATTATTTAAAACATTTTTTTAAAATAACAAGCTCTAAAATGAGCTAATAATACGAAAATAGACACTTTTCTGTGTTAGGCTATACCTACTTATTTAATGAACCACCTACGCTTTTACTATATCTAGGGAAATTCTTTTAATCTCTGTTTTTTAGCGTGCATTTAAAACGTAATCATAAAGGTTTCTCTTAAACTGTCCAACCCCTTATCTACAGCCTCAGAGAGTAGCAGATTCGATTATTGTCAAAGGAGCCATGCCGATATTTGATACAGCCTCTTCTAAAGAAAACCTATGCGTCTGGAAGCAAATTCCACCTTCATTTCTGACCTATTCAATAGCTTTATAATAGAAGGAGAAGTAAGGGGTCATCCATAAAATGAATGATATATCCCCCTTCCCTCCGTCACACATCATCACAAAAAGCCAGATCCCCCTAAAATGACGTCATACATTAGTTTACAACCCCCTCCACCTCCATCCCCTCAAAATTGCAGTTACATTTTTCTTAAAACGTTGATATGATTCCAAAATCTTGTCTGAACTCTGTCAACATAGAGTATTTTAATCAATTTCTAATGCAATTTATTAGAGCAGTTTTCTAAAACACGAAATAAAAAATAAAATTCGTTTTCTAACATTGCTTTTTTTATAATGCAAAAGTGTGACTTATTATCTGAACCCCCCCCCCCCCCCATCCTCGTCATACATCGTCACAAAATTACGGGCACACCCTTTCCCTTACGAATGTTTACGTCATTTATGGACGCCCCTTAACTCAGTAATGTCAACACCACTCTTGAATAACGAATCAACACAACGTAAAAAAAAAGCAAATTTATGTACCCAGGTACATATTCAAGTTGTATCGAATGTCACCCACCACCCTCCCATCAACACACATGCATGTTTATGCTTGGTCAGAACCTCAGCGTCGATTGGTTAACTAGCTATCATAGTCATGTATCGAGTTATTTGTGATATGCTATTTTGTGTTATGCCACTGGAGTTTCTATCTGGCATCCCCCCCCCCCCCCCCACACCTTTTTTAGTTTTTAGATGTTGGCGCCATTATTTAAAAAAATATATCGATAAATAAATTTAAAAGTCCATATTTAAAACTTATGAGGGATTCATAGAGTTTTCCGCTATGCATTTAAAATATTGGGGACGGAGTGGTCTAGCGGTAGAGAGCTGGACTGCTAACCCTAGTTCGAATCCGGATTCAAGTCAGCAGACCGTTCCTGAGTCCACCCACCTCTGATGGGCCCCCAACTGATAAGGAAAGTAAAGGCGGCTGGGCATGGTGCTGACCACACCATCTCTTCATATGCTGAGGTCACAGAAACAAGTGAACTCTACTTCACTTGCCATATATACCGTCAGGTTTGAAAGGGAACTTTACTTTTTACTTTATTTAAAATATTCTTATCCACGAAATTTTCACATTTATATGTAAGATTATAGGCATCATGATGCCAAAGAAAAAAAAATTAACAACTAATTCCTTAGAACATACACTGGTCTACACACATATACACACGCACACACACTCATATATAGCTATGTAAACTTATAAAGAACACTTAACTGTTAAAGCTACTTTTGGAATTATATTGCTTCATTAAATTTAAAATTTAAAATATAGACATTCCCGACTAGTTAGATCTATCTTTAAAAAAATATATGATCTAATGGTGCCTTTAGTAGACTAGCATTTAATTATTTTGATACAACGTAATGGGGTTCAATACTCAACGCCTACCTGCCATTGCGTGTTAAGAACTGTTCATTGTAATCATTAATTTAAGAGCGCTATACATAATTAATTATTTAATGGTGTTTAGAAACTACAACGCCGATCCAGGTTTTTAAACTCTCAAACATTTTAATTGGCTGTTTCCCTGGACACGTTGATTGGCGACAAAATGGGGGACATGGAACATCGTCTTCTCTCTTGAGCCATCAACATTCATCTTGTTGCATTAATAAAAATTAAAATTGGAGAAAAAAATCATCTAAAAGACCTGTATCATCACGTTTTGGATATATAATGTTAAGTTAAACAAAGTGATAAATGTAAACAAACGGCCTTAGATTAAAAAATTAAAAATTAATTTTTCAGCCAGAACTTCACTACTTTACTAAACTTTACTTATTACTTACTACTAGTGCTAACTTACTACTAGAATCACTACTGCTAAACAAACTGTTACCAGTTACTTAAAGCTGCTAAACTAAACTTAAGAAAAACCTATGAAGAACTTAGAAATTGTGGTCGGAGTTTCAACTTACATAATTACTTTACTATATAATTAAACAACTGCGAAAAAAGTGGAACATTTGTTTAATTGTTTTTGTTATAAATTATATAAACATATATTATATAATAAAAAGCCTAGATAGATCTACCTTGTTTTTCATATACAAATTTGTGGTTATTCAGATTATTGTCTGATATATATTATTTTATTATAAATTTAAAATGCTAGGCCTAACATTGTTTGGTAAATTTGATTGTGCATACTCAAAAATCAGCTCATTCAAATCAAGCATTTATAATGCAAATAAAAAGCAATTAAAATGCACCTGTGAAATGTAGACTGTCATAATCATCATTGAGTTGGTGAAAAGGATTTTTCAAACTTATTAAACATACATTCCAATTTTTAAGAGAAGTAAGTTATATTAAAAATCTACAAAAATGCCTATCGCTCAAGCCCGCTTGCAAGTTTTGCAAGTTTGCAAATTGCTTCAATTAGTGCGGGAAAGAAACAAAGAACAAATAGATAAATTGATAATAAAAGGAACACCTCATCTAATAAACTACAACGCTTCAGAAGATGGGGTGACCGCCCTCATAGTTGCCTCCAAGGCAAATGATGAGGAGATGGTTGAGTTTTTGTTGAGCCTTGGGGCACATCCTGATGTTATGGACTTGAAAGGGAAGACAGCGTCCATGTGGGCAGCTGAATTCGGCAATGTTGAATGTCTGGAGAAATTGTTGGCCGCTGGAGCGGATATGACCCTGAAAGATGTTGAAGGCAAAGGTAAATAAAATCAACCACTAGTTTTTTAAATATTTGATTTAACAATCAAAGGCTTAAGTAAAAGCAGTATAAGATTGTGTAACAGTAGCACTTAAAACATGAATTTGTATTTTTGACATAGTCACAGCATAAGCCTATTAGGGGGTTTAGTGGCCAGCAATGTTTAACAGTCAGAAAATATGGTCAGAAATAAATAAGCTTAAGGATTCTTATGGATCAAAGTTGATTTTCTTTCATGAACCAAATTGGTTATCTTAGCCAGGCACTACTTTAAGTGTTTCTTCCAGGCATCTCTAAGGGGGAGGGGGGGGGGGGCAAAGTCTACCACCCCACCTCCACCCCCAAATGAAATGGAATTTATATAGAAAATATATACTTTTAAAAGTGTCCTGTCCCGTCCCCTTGAAATTTTATTCCGCCCCCTGAACATTATTTCAAGTGCCCATCTGAGAAAAAGTCTGGAAGAAACACTGACTAGTTTCACCTCAGATGTCACAAGCATACATCGTGACACAGCTAAAACTATGCTGATTATATTTTTCTTTATCACAACTTTGACCCTCTAATATCTATTTTGCCATTGGAATCTATATCTAAAAACCTAGTAAAGAAGTTTACCTATTCATGTACACAATTGTTTTTGTGTTTCAGGTATTATATTTTACCTGTTGACACCAACTGAGCGCCATGCAAAATGCTTGGACTTGGCACTCAACGCTGGGGCAGATGTAAATGCCAAAGATCTAGATGGCAACCCTGTGTTTGTTGAAGCCTGCAATCTGGCAGTAGATAATGAGAGATTGTGCTTACAACTTCTCGCTCATGGTGCAGATCCCAATGTAGTAGCACTGGTAATCTTTTTTTTTAAATTTTGCATAATTAATACCATGTTAATTTAAATACTTGCTCTCTGTTTTTGGGGCACCAGACTTGGTTATTTTATATTAGTGATGGTTATTTATAGAGTTATATACCTTGAGATAAACTTAAAGATCTTTTGTTTATTTACCCGACAAAATGACACCATGAATGGATGATCAGCTGATCTTCTTAATTTCCAGTGCCTGAATTTTTTTTTTTTCAATTTATATATGTTTGGAAGCAACAACCATTTGCCTTTAGGACTACATTATCTAAAATTGAGTTTTTCGATAATCAATACAAATTGTAGATTATTTTTATCGTATAAAAAACTGAAAATATACGATGTATTTGTAACATACCAATCAGATTAAAAACAGTTTTCTTTTTCACTTGCCAAAACTTAATTATGGTTTTATTTTATGATAAGCCCCAAAATGTCAGAATTCTTTGAGTGTGTTTTCTTTGCATGGTGTAAATCAGATCCTAAAATTGTCAGGTTATGTTACCAAAATTGTAACAATCAACCCAGTTTTATATTATCTTTTAGAAACAGTGATATAAAAAAAATAAAACTGGCAGTAGTGAAAGAATCCAATCCATGTTTGTGTTTCAGAAACCCGGTCGCACACCACTCATGGCAGCAGCATCCAGTGGAGGAATCAAGGTTGTTGCTGCTCTTCTAGCAGCAGGGGCCAACCCAAACACAATAGACGCCAAGAAGAACTGTGCGGCCCACTTTGCCGCAATGAACGGCCACATCAAAGCACTGCAATTAATGGCAGGTTATGGAGCTGACTTTAATCTAATAGCAAATGATGGGGGGAACCCTATCCACTTGGCAGCCAAGACAGGGGAGGCAATGTGCATTAAGTTCTTATCACAAAGAGGTTTGTTTTGTTTGGCTTCTTTTGAAACTTGTATCTTGTTTAGCTTGAGAAGTGGTTTGATTTTATTTACTTTTTGTTTTGTTTGGCTTCTTTTGAAACTTGTATCTTGTTTAGCTTTAGAACTGGTTTGATTTTATTTACTTTTTGTTTTGTTTGGCTTCTTTTGAAACTTGTATCTTGTTTAGCTTTAGAACTGGTTTGATTTTATTTACTTTTTGTTTTGTTTGGCTTCTTTTGAAACTTGCATCTTGTTTAGCTTTAGAACTGGTTTGATTTTATTTACTTTTTGCACTCAAGCTACATTTTTCTATTACCTTTCAAACAATATTAAGTTGCATTCTATATTTTTTAGAAATAAAAACTTATTATCTTTCTGATGGTTTTTTAAAAACATCATACAAAAACTAAATTTGATGATACAAACGTTTATTTTGTCCCTTAGTTGACCCAATAACAACAAATAGCCTGAACATGATTTCAACTTCTGGTCATATTGTAGTGATAATTTTCTGTATTTAAATATAACTTTACTTTTTACTAACAGCAATATATATGCTTCATTATCAGTCCTCAATTAAAACAAGTTTAGTAATTATGCCATTCATTTCAATTTTAGCAAGTCTATTATTATTTAAGTCATTCTTATTTAAAGATGGATTTACTTTAATTTTAAAAACAAAGTGTTGAAAATTATTTCAAATGTTAAAAAGAAGTATTGCATTTTATCATGTTATATTATTTTATATTAGTTAATTATTATTTTTGAATATCCGTAGGCTGTAATCCGAAGATTAAGAACAACCACGGTCATTTACCCAAAGTTATTGCTAAGGAAGCTGGCAACAAAGCAGCAGGTTCGGAAGTCCGGAAAGCTGAAAGAAGCTTTGGTAAAGTGGGTAAGAACAATGACCTGTGGATACTTCAGCTCTACGACTGGGTCCACGCTAGGAAGAGCGCCATCCTTAGCGCCTGCAATGCTGTAGATGTGGATGAAGTGGGCAAGGTACCTGTGGGTGACTTCACTGATATTCTCACCTCTAAAGGTGTGCCAGTGGAGGACGAACAGCTGAAGACGATCCTGACGCTGCAAGACAAGAACAAAGAAGGAAGGATAGACTACAACGATTTCTTCTTGGCGAAGAAGTGGGTGAATAAAAACTTTGTGTATGAGGCGTTTGAAGGAAAGAAGAAGAAGAAGAAGAAGGGCAAGAAGAAAGGTGGAAAGAAGGGAAAGTTCAAGCTTGTCATGCCTATCTGTATACAAGACGAAGGGCCTAGGCAATTTGGTGGGGCCCCACCACTGGTGTACATACCTCAACACATTCATTTTACAGATACGGGCAGGTTTGACAGGGATAAACCACCTAAACACCCACTTCAAGACGACTCAGGTTAGTTATTTTAGCAGAAGAAAACTTGTAGCAATTTTTTTTATAGAAGGGAGATAATTTAGCCAGATAATTAAAGTTAAGGTAATTAAAAATTATTTTTTTAAGGTAATATTTGACTGGTATTTTTAAAATAAAAGAACAAATTTTAGTCATAATTTTCAAAGGAATAAAACTTGATCAATTTTAATTTTAGGGAAGCTAATTAGAAAAGTGGGTATTTAATACATACAAAACAACACTATCTAGATGCAATAATGTTATTTATTAATTTACACTTTTTTTTTCAACTTTTTTGTAGCCTACAATAGAATTATGTTCAAAATGAACTTAGAATTCTAACTATTAATATAAATAAAAACCCATAAAATTAACATTAACATAAATATTAAAATAATCACCAAAACAATTACTCACACAATTATTCTTTTTTAAAAGCTTATTTTTAATTTTTTTTTAAACTGTTTTTGTTTCTAGCATGGTACATTGAAGCTCCCTTGAAGACCTACATAAACATTAATGAGGCTGCTAAGAATGGTGATATTATATCAATCAAGGATGCAATTCTGCGCGGTGTTTCAGTGGATACCCGGGATAAATTCTACAAGACCCCACTCATGATAGCTTGCGCAGTGGCCAATATTAACACTGTCCGCTTTTTGCTGGAGAATGGGTATGAGTTTGGTTTGTGTTTTTTTTATTTTTGTGCTAAGATAATGGGTAAGAGTTTGGTTGGTTGTTTTTTTTTTTTAATGCTGGTATCAGCTTTGTTTCTGATTAAGGTCAGGATGTGGACAATGATTTTGATAATAGCATAAAAAAAACTTTTTTTTTTGTACTATTTAGTTACTATTTTTTAAGTATGCTGTGGCAAATATTAACACTGTCCGCTTTTTGGAGAATGGGTAAAAACTTGGTTGTTGATTCTTTTTTTTTTTTTGTTAATGCTATCAGGTTTAGAGTTGTTATCAAGATGAGGATAAGGATAATGATAATTGCAAAAAAAAAATTATATTCTGTAGAAGCTTCATGCCAAAATTAACAATGTCCACTTTTTGCCTGAGAACTGGGAAGTTTTAGGTTTTTGTGAAAGTGTTGATTAGGCAACATATATAAGTATTAAGAATTATTATTCTCATTTTTGCTGAAATAGCCAATAAGTTTAGAGTTGATACTAGGATTAGGGTGATGATGTGGATTAGGATTATGATAATAGCAAGAGAAAAATACAAGATTCAATACTTTCTAGTGGTTATGTTACAAATAGGCTTACTGTAGTTGGATACAAAGAAAACAAAACAAGTGAAAAGAAATGCTGCACTCTTGGTGCGTAAATGGTCGTATGCCATGTTTTTAAGCTGGGTTTCTTTCAGGCCAAAAAACTACTCTTTAACAAAGAAAATGATATTTTAAAAATAACATTTTATTTTTGAAAATTATTATTTTATATAATATAATTAATGATATAATTTTTATAAGGGATGTTTGAACATAATGAGTTCTTTATAATTGTTTGTTTTAAATACTTCTGAATTTACATAGAAATTATCATTAACTTTCTTAAAACCAGTAAAATATTGAGGATGGGTGCACTTTAACATTGATGATAATACAATACGGCAACACAAAATATGAAAAAGATGGAGTTATTTTTAAAATATCATGAAACAAAAAAAAATTCTATTATCCTACACTATCATACTCCTCAACAGTGTTATTATTTTTGTAAAATAAAGTGTCATATCATTAAGCCAAGAGAAACGCAAATACTCAAGCAAACCAATATTTTCTGGTAGAACTTTAACTCATTTTTAAAGATGCAATTTTTTAATATTCAATCAAGTAATTTTTTATTTCAAATATTTTTCTAGCGCCAACGTGAATACCCGTGATAATTTCAAATGGACGCCTCTACACCACGCATGTCATGCCGGTCAGCTGGATATTGTGCAACTGCTGCTTGACAATGGTGCAGAGATTGACGCATCATCTATTAATGGTGGCACCCCACTCACCAGAGCCATAGAAAGTTCTAAGGATACAGTAGTGGAATACCTGCTGGAGAAAGGCTGTAAAGTGCAGACTGAGAACAAGAGAGGTATGCTATGCATTTTTATTTATTTATTTATTTTTTTAAACTTGATTTGTCTAAAAAAAATTTGTTTGTTTTATGTAACATATTCTTAATCAGAGAGGTAAACAACTGATTTTTATTCAAAATTTGAAAAATTCAACCTATTAAAACAACATTGGGGTAGAAACTTAAAACTTGGCTGAGATTAATTGGGGAACAATAGTTAATCTCAAATTCTTAAGTTCCCTGATTTAAGGATGATGCACCTACATGAGCCTACCCAGCTCTGTTGGGTGCCTTCTTGTATCTAGTTGAGGAAAGTAAAGTAGGCATTGTGCTGACTACACAATCCTTTAGAAGTGTTGAATGACAAAATAAAATCAATCACTGTACATAATTAATAGACACATGAGGGTAGGCCAGTTATTATTTCTTTCCTCATGTTTGAAATGTTTGTTAATCAGTCCATGAAGCTAATCACTGTTGTGTTTTCATTAATTTTTTTAAAATTTCATTTTTAAAATTTCAATTCGACATAGGTTTGTCACCAATGGTCTTTGAGCTTGTTAAAGCCAAATGGGAAACCCCTAAATCACTGTTTAATTTTTTAAAATTTCAATTTGACAGGTTTGTCACCAATGGATCTGGCATACTCCTGGGCTGATCCTAGAGTCTTTGAGCTCATCATGGCCAAATGGGAAATGCTCAAACCAAAAGATGACAAGAAAGGAAAGAAACCAGCCAAGCCCAAGAAACAAAAAGGTGGCAAGGAGAAAGATGCTTCAGCAACGCCAGAACAAAAACAAGTATGTGTTTTTTTTTTTCTGCATTTTGCCGAAAAATATATGGCTGCAACATATTTGTATTAGGTATATTTTTTTTTAAATCTGGGAAAATATCTTAGTGCCAGAGATTCAGAGTGTGAATGGCAAAGAAAATAACCTCTGCTGAAAAGTCCGAATTTGAATTGCAAATGTATTAATTTTCTGAGTTGACATAGCCGTATTAAGTACCTAACAGTATTTGGCTAGTAATTGGTTACATCATCTGCATATATAACATGCAATAGAATCTAACCATCATCTTTCAAAGCATGCTTGAATTAATGACAATTACCTAAGATAGGTAATTAACCATCTAATAGTATAAAATTGTATTCAACATTTTGTAATTGTTGAACAGCAGGACAGACAAGAATAGTTTATGCTAAACAAATATTACGTGCTTGTCTATAAGTATTAATTAAATATGTAAAATCACCCAAGGGACATTACTAAAAGAGAAATATTTTAATTTGTCTACCTTTAAATTTAGCATTGTACTAAAACCTAATAATAGACACTGTCAAAAAAGTTGCTTTTTCTTCAAGGAAGTGGGTGGAGGTGGAATGGCATTATGAAACTAAAGCAAAATCTAGTTTAATTTTTTTTTTTTAAATCCATTTAATCACCCTGTTAAACTTTGGTTTAATAATATTTGTGTTTAATTATATTGTCAAAGTAAAAAAAATAAAATTACCAACATCCATACAAACTTGTTTAAACCAGTAGTGTAGCGAGGGGGGGGGGGGGGGGGGGGGGGGCGGGGGACATATGTCCCCGGGCACCGACCTTAGGGGGCGCCAAAATGGGTTGGAAAAATAAATTGAAAGGTTGAGGGGGGTGCAATTCGAAATCTTGAGGGGGGGTGCAAATCGAAAAGTTTGTCCCCGGGCGCCGGGAAGGGTCGCTACGCCTCTGGTTTACTCAGCCAGATCTAATGTTTTGTTCAATGATTACCAGATTAAAATTGAAGATGAGGAGTCACTGCCCTAGCACAGAAAAATCCATTTAATCACCCTGTTAAACTTTGGTTTGATAATATTTTTGTTTAATTATATTGCCAAATTAAAAACAATAAAAATTCTAACATCCATACAAATGTGTATAATCAGCCAAATCTAATGATTTGTTCAATGATTTTCAGATTAAAATTGAAGATGAGGAGTCACTGCCTCAGCACAGAAAAATCCATTTAATCACCCTGTTAAACTTTGGTTTAATAATATTTTTGTTTAATTATATTGCCAAATTAAAAACAATAAAAATTCTAACATCCATACAAACGTGTATAATCAGCCAAATCTAATAATTTGTTCAATGATTTTCAGATTAAAATCGAAGATGAGGAGTCACTGCCCCAGCACAGGCGTGGCTCCATACTCCGCGCAGCCTCCGCCCTGGCTGGCGGCATGGATGAGCACGAGGACATCCGCTACAAGCCGAAAAAAGTATGGACCCCCCAGAAAACAACCGCTGAACTTATCCGCGAGAGGGAGATCATGAGAGAAAGGTTTGGCTGGGAGGTCGACTTTGCCGATTACGAAACACCATTCCAGAAAAATATTACGACCAAAATTAAAGAAGCCGAGGAAGAGGATGAATAAAAAGCAGATATGTTATTCATCAGTTGTTTTAAAAGCTTGAAAATTCATTTTCTACCAAATATGTTGTCCCCCATTACAAATTTATATGATATTTTTTAAAATTTTATCTTGTCTGCACCATGAAAAAAATTATTGTGTGTATGATTGCTGAGCGCTCTCTATTTTTACATTTTAATTTCATGTAAACTTGTAATATTCTAAATAATTTTATGTTACTCTGCTGACAACTTTTTACAATGTGTTAAATATGTTTTTATATGTGGTATAACCTGCTGAAAAAAAATTATGCTTTACACCTTAATATTGCCCAGATATATTTTCTATCCCTTTTTTTTTTAAAGAAGAAGTAACTCTTACTTTCTTATTTAAATACATGACAGTTGTATATTTGAGAGATAATTTTATATTTGCTGTGCAATGCAGTGTTTTAATGCTTTGGTGGGTTGAATTTTTTTCAATAAGATTTCTATTACACATTACTTATACAAGGGTAGATAACTCTCAGAGCAAAACTTTTAGCTACACCTAAAATGTAAGTGTTGTTTGTATTTTTTTCATTTTCAAGCACCATTAGGCTAATCATTACAAATTGTACACATTTTAGTAGTTTATATCAAATATGTCATATCAACATCAAGTGGATTATGTTCAACAAATATATATTTAAAAAAAACAGCCAACATAATAAATGATGCCAAAAAAATTGTATAAAAATAAAAATGTATAGGTCTACATTTAAAAAAAAATTCCTTCAAAACTTAATATGATTTAAAATAAAGTATTCTTCTGCAAGATATATATAGACCAAAAAATGTTATTAAAAAAACCTAGCAATCAATTCCAGTGTCCAAAATATGTACATTATAATGCTAAATATTCCAATTATCAAAATATAAAGACTATACTTTTTAAATCATTTCTGCCACCACTATGCCAACAGTTTATATGTTATTTATTGAAACAATACAAATGTGATATCATCTTTTTATAACAAGAACTTTGTTGGTGTTTTCAATGTAAATTCCTTGTCATGTTCATACGTGGATGTAAAGCTCATGTAAACTTTAATGTTGACTTGTTCACGTCTGTGTAAAACTCATGTAAACACTAATGTTGAATTGTTCATGTGTCTCTATGTAAAACTTGTGTAAACTCTAATGTTGATTTGTTCATGTGTCTATTTAAAACTTTATAACTCTAATGTTGACTTGTTTGTGTGTCTATGTAAAACTTATGTAACTCTAATGTTGTCTTGTGCATGTGTCACTATGAATGCCAGAAGTATTATCCAAGACACACAGAAAGGCTCTTGTCAGTGGTCTATGCTCTAATGAGATGACAGGCTATTACTATCTGGCATCAATATAAAGAACTAAAATTAACTTAAACTCCTAAATCTATGTTCTAACCCCCTCCCATAGTTCAAGATATAGCAACTCTGTTCTTTATCATGGTGGGACATATATTAACCTTAGCCACTGGAGAGCTGCAGGTAAACTTGGCAGAAGACAGGTTAATGAATGAGTGATTATTGAAAATTAGCAGTGAGGTCTATAGAACTGCCAACTCATGAAACAAATACATAAAAACAAACACTATGTTATTTATATTTCCATTTTATTTACATGAAAAACTTATGAACAGACAGATGAAAAGGTAACATTTATAAACATTTTGAAACAATTTATTTAAAAAATTATGAATATAACAAAACAAAATAAGGAGCTCATTAAGAAAAGAAGAGTTCAATTTTTTCTTTAAATGGTACTGAGAAAGATGGTTTAATCCTGACAGAAGGGAGATAACTACAAATTTTCTGTCCATTCATTGAATAAAAAATTACTTTATGAAAAAAAGTTAAAACAAATACTTACAATTTATCACAATTCTTTAACAATACAATACATTTTTTTTGTTCATTTCTATTACAGCTTATAAGCATGTAACTAAATTGCATTTAAAACAAAATATAAGGTTATGTTTATAATAATTTTTAAATTATTGAGGAGAAAAGCAAATTTAATATCACAAGATTACAAGTTACTGATGAAAGTTACAGAAAATTACAAGTAAATAAAACATTTACTTGGCAAGTGAAACCAAATTTTTATGGTGATAGGAGTGATACATTTAAAAATAAATTGAATGGGAGTGGCTTATCTCTGACCAGTAGTGACTGTCCCAGAATAAAACTATTTTGTAATTCTAACTCCAACATAGAAGAGTTAGTATGTTTCACTCCACAACTCCAATGTAGGAGAGTTATTAATTTACATAACTGTCCCAGCATGCTCATCCTTGTATTATAAGTAACATACTAATTAAGAATGTTTTAACATATTTTTTGTCCAAATACTAAACTTCAAAGGAATAAATTAAAATAACTTAATAATATAACCAAAAAGAATGCAATGACTGGAAATACTATATTACATAAAGGCTATTATCTTTTTTATAATTATTTAATCGTTTAAATCCATAATACTTAAGTAAAATATATATTGCATCTTAAACTATTAATTTGATGGAAACAATTTTTTTCTTCAATGTATCTTCTTGATGAACATTTAAAATTGCTTTTCAAATACATTAAAATCAATTTCAAAACAATGTCATTGTTAGGCTCAAAGTCTCCCTAATAAACTGAACTGGATTTTAAAAAAAAATGTCTTGTATGCTTTGATGTTGGATGACCTCGGAATGCTCTTCCTACCATAAACAAAAATATCACTCCGTCTTTTTTAGAGGGGAAAAAAATGTCTTACGTCGATCAACGAAAGGTGAGTGACATCAATGTGGGTAGAGCTTCAACTGTGATGTGAATCAATCACCTCAAAGTGAACATCAATGATGTGAACAACGACGGCTTTTTTTTTCTCACACTGTCAATTTATGATGTGTATGATCTATATGACAATTGATGTGTCCTTACGCTGAAATGCCATAAGATAATAACACATGATGGATGGAAACTGCGGGAGAACCTCATTAGTAACGTTGCTGGTCCAGCGAAGGTAAGTTGTATTGGTTGTACAGAGTCTTAGATGTCTTTAATGGTGACTGTTGAAAGATAAAGGCAATAGCTGAATGATGGACTTTTTTCAAGGATTAAGTTTAAAAGTAAGTAAAGGGAAATAATTATTAAAAAAGATCATGACTCAACAATCAGACTATAAAATTTAAATTAATGCCAAGCTGCTTGTAATATTTTTTTACGACTATTATAGACCTACACACACAAAAACATCCTGGAAACAAATTAAAAAATGTGTAATTGTAGTATTTTAAAAAAGAATTATATTTGTTATATACTCTGTTTTCTATTCAAATTGAAACTACACTGTGAGCACATACAACATCACCTACCCTGTCACCACCTTCAACATCACCTACCCTGTCAACACCTACAACATCACCTACCCTGTCACCACCTACAACATCACCAACCCTGTGAACACCAACAACATCACCAACCCTGTGAACACCTACAACATCACCTACCCTTTGAACACCTACAACATCACCTACCCTGTCACCACCTACAACATCACCAACCCTGTCACCACCTACAACATCACCTACCCTGTGAGCACCTACAACATCACCTACCCTGTCACCACCTACAACATCACCAACCCTGTCACCACCTACAACATCACCTACCCTGTGAGCACCTACAACATCACCTACCCTGTCACCACCTACAACATCACCTACCCTGTGAGCACCTACAACATCACCTACCCTGTCACCACCTACAACATCACCTACCATGTCAACACCTACAATATCACCAACCCTGTGAACACCTACAACATCACCTACCCTGTCACCACATACAACATCACCAACCCTGTCAACACCTACAACATCACCAACCCTTTGAACACCTACAACATCACCAACCCTGTGAACACCTACAACATCACCAACCCTGTCACCACCTACAACATCACCTACCCTGTCACCACCTACAACATCACCAACCCTTTGAACACCTACAACATCACCAACCCTGTGAACACCTACAACATCACCTACCCTGTCACCACCTACAACATCACCTACCATGTCAACACCTACAACATCACCAACCCTGTGAACACCTACAACATCACCAACCCTGTCAACACCTACAACATCACCAACCCTTTGAACACCTACAACATCACCAACCCTTTGAACACCTACAACATCACCAACCCTTTGAACACCTACAACATCACCAACCCTTTGAACACCTACAACATCACCTACACTGTGAGCACCTACAACATCACCAACCCTGTCACCACCTACAACATCACCAACCCTGTCACCACCTACAACATCACCAACCCTGTCACCACCTACAACATCACCTACCCTGTCACCACCTACAACATCACCTACCCTGTGAGCACCTACAACATCACCTACCCTGTCACCACCTACAACATCACCTACCCTGTCACCACCTACAACATCACCTACCCTGTCACCACCTACAACATCACGTACCCTGTTACCACATACAACATCACCAACCCTTTGAACACCTACAACATCACCAACCCTGTTAACACCCACAACATCACCTACCCTGTGAACACCTACAACATCACCTACCCTGTCGCCACCTACAACATCACCTACCCTGTGAACACATACATCACCTACAATGTGAACACCTTCATCACCAACCCTTTGAACACCTACAACATCACCAACCCTGTCACCACCTACAACATCACCAACCCTTTGAACACCTACAACATCACCAACCCTGTCACCACCTACAACATCACCTACCCTGTTACCACATACAACATCACCAACCTTTTGAACACCTACACAACCAACCCTGTGAACACCTACAACATCACCTACCCTGTCGCCACCTACAACATCACCTACCCTGTGAACACATACATCACCTACAATGTGAACACCTTCATCACCAACCCTGTGAGCACCTACAACATCACCTACCCTGTCACCACCTACAACATCACCTACCCTGTCACCACCTACAACATCACGTACCCTGTTACCACATACAACATCACCAACCCTTTGAACACCTACAACATCACCTACCCTGTGAACACCTACAACATCACCTACCCTGTCGCCACCTACAACATCACCTACCCTGTGAACACATACATCACCTACAATGTGAACACCTTCATCACCAACCCTGTGAGCACCTACAACATCACCTACCCGTTTCACCACCTACAACATCACCAACCCTGTGAACACCTACAACATCACCAACCCACAACATCACCTACACTGTGAGCACCTACAACATCACCAACCCTTTGAACACCTACAACATCACCTACCCTATAAGCACCAACCCTGTCACCGCCCACAACATCACCAACCCTGTCACCACCTACAACATCACCTACCCGTTTCACCACCTACAACATCACCAACCCTGTGAACACCTACAACATCACCTACCCGTTTCACCACCTACAACATCACCAACCCTGTGAACACCTACAACACCACCAACCCTGTGAGCACTAACAGCACCAACCCTGTGAACACCTACAACACCACCAACCCTGTGAGCACTAACAGCACCAACCCTGTGAACACCTACACAACCAACCCTGTGAACACCTACAACATCACCAACCCTGTGAACACCTACACAACCAACCCTGTGAACAGCTACAACATCACCTACCCTGTGAACACCTACACAACCAACCCTGTGAACAGCTACAACATCACCAACCCTGTGAACACCTACACAACCAACCCTGTGAACACCTACACAACCAACCCTGTGAACACCTACAACATCACCTACCCTGTGAACACCTACACAACCAACCCTGTGAACACCTACAACATCACCTACCCTGTGAACACCTACACAACCAACCCTGTGAACACCTACAACATCACCAACCCTGTGAGCACTAACAGCACCAACCCTGTGAACACCTACAACATCACCAACCCTTTGAACACCTACAACATCACCTACCCTTTGAACACCTACAACATCACCAACCCTTTGAACACCTACAACATCACCTACCCTGTCACCACCTACAACATCACCAACCCTGTGAACACCTACAACATCACCAACCTTGTCACCACCTACAACATCACCAACCCTGTGAACACCTACAACATCACCAACCCTTTGAACACCTACAACATCACCAACCCTTTGAACACCTACAACATCACCAACACTTTGAACACCTACAACATCACCTACCCTGTGAGGCTTGTAGCTGTTGTTGATGGTTGGCAGCAATGACTGGGTTGTCACCCCCGCGGGGATCTTGTTGTACGAGGTGAGGAAGCTGGAGGTGTGGAATGTGGGGTTAAAGGTCGCTGGGTGCATTGGAACTCTGGGCAGTAATCCGGTGTGGTTGGAGTAGTTCTGTGACTCAATGGTCCGTTTGTTTTTGTGCTGTTGATGAGATACAGACCTCTATTGAAAAACAGAAAGCGTTGGTGAGTCACATTAAAAAACGTTAAATTACCCATAGGTTTCGTATCAATTTCAATTAATTTTTTTTATTGTTAGTGGCCACTGTAAAATGATAACATGACCTTCTAGTAAAAGAAGTAAATATGATCTTGGCTAAAATAGCATACAGTAATGATATTAAGAAGATCATAAGAAAAAGATCATGATAAAAATATTTAAAAAATTAAAAGGATCATACTGAAGAGATCACAAGGTAAAAGTGTTAATGAAAATATGATCAGGTAAACCATCTAAACCCACCCTGACCAGCTAAACCTTCCTGAATCAACTAAACCTACCCAACTAATGACCAGCTAAACCTACCCTTATTAACTAAACCTACCCACCTAATGACCAGCTAAACCTACCCACCTAATACCAGCTAAACCTACCCACCTAATGAACAGCTAAACCTACCCACCTAATGACCAGCTAAACCTACACATCTAATACAAGCTAATCCTAGCCCACCCAGCTAAACCTACCCACCTAATGACCAGCTAAACCTACCCACCTATTGAACAGCTAAACCTACCCACCTAATGACTAGCTAAACCTACACATCTAATACAAGCTAAACCTAGCCCACCCAGCTAAACCTACCCACCTAATGACCAGCTAAACCTACCCACCTAATGACCAACTAAACCTATTCTGCACATCTAAACCTGCCCTGCCCAGCTAAACCTACTCTGCCCAGCTAAACCTACCCGTCTCCTGTCCTTGAACGGATGTGTGGGATGTGACTGGGCCTTGGGCAGGGTGGGATACATTGTGATCTCCGTCATCCTGGTCTTGAGGGGGGAGGATGGGTCCTGCTGGAACTGGATGATTTTCTCGGAGATCTCGTTATCGTCTCGCACGGATGGCTGCGGCTCCGCCTCCTCTGGCGGCACCATCTGCTTGGCTTGAAGAATGGCCCTTTTTTCTGCATCTCTGATGTTTGGCCAAAGGTAAAAAAAATTTAGTTAGTTTAAAAAGTTATTAAAAAAGGAGATTTCAAAATTGAGTGGGAAAAACATAAATCAGAAAGAAGTTACTTCCCATGTAATGTAATACAAATACAAGAATTGAGATTTAAAAACACAAGTTGTGTCCCTTAGATTACATTATGCATGATTCAGTTGCCCTCTGAATTTATAAAAAGAATGATTGTGGGCTTGTGTCTACATAGTGGGCCCACCTTAAATCTCCAAAATCTACCTAGGTGTGTGAGGGCTTGTGTGTATTTAGTAAACCCATATTAAATCTCTACAGCCTACCTGGTAAACCCACCTTAACTCACATCAACCAAGTACACCCACTTTACATCTCTTGTCTACCTAGTAAATCTGCCTTAAATCTCATCTACCTAGTTAACCCACCCTAAACCCACATTATGTCTCTAAAGTCTGCCTAGTAAAAACCCACCTGTCTCTAAATTCTACCTAGTAAAAACCCACCTTAAATCTCTAAATTCTACCTAGTAAAACCCACCTTAAATCTCTAAATTCTACCTAGTAAAACCCACCTTAAATCTCTAAATTCTACCTAGTAAAACCCACCTTAAATCTCTAAATTCTACCTAGTAAAAACCCACCTTATATCCCTAAAGTCAACCTAGTAAAAACCCACCTTATATCCCTAAAGTCCACCTAGTAAAAACCCCCCTTGTACCTCTAAAGCCTACCTAGTAAACCCACCTTAAATCTCTTGGCTACCTAGTAAACCCACATTATATCTCTAAATTCTACCTAGTAAACCCACCTTATGTCTCTAAAGTACAGGTGTTTGAGTGCCTGTCGTGCTGTAATCCTCTCCTCAGGGTCGTATGTACACATCAGGTAGATCAGCTCGATGGCTTCAGGTGCCGCATGGGTCAACAACCTTTCAATCCCAGTGCCTTTCTTGGGTGGGAAGTTAAAGTTCATGCCCTTTGACCTAGTTGCAAGTGTGGAATTAAGTAGTAAAATAACTGAGTTGATCCCCAAATAAGGTTGTTGATGTTCAGGAGGGATGGGGTGGTTGAGTGGTAGCATTTATGCATGTTTACCCTTAAGTTGAGTTTGGTTCTCAGGTCACCCTGAGCCAACTCAGCTCTAACGAGTACCTGAGTTGTTGAGACTAAAGATATTGACCATGGTGCTGACCACACAATCCAGTCACACATAGATGGCACATAAATAGGTAAACTCTACCTTAACTTCCCAATGGACTATCTAATCTTATATAATTACTTTTTCAAAACCTCCGACCAAAATAAATTTCAGACAAATTACGGTACTTTTAAAAATGCTATTCAGACAAATAAAATACTTTTATTATTTCTAAACACATTAAAATTTCATAAAGTAAAATTAGATTATAAACTATTCTTATTTAATAAAAGGACATGCTACACGACTCTGTCAGACAAAGCTATAGGGTTGCATGAAACATGATGATGGAAGCATTTTCCATGCAGCACTGCACTATACCATAGCACTGCCTGACACCTTAGTATAGTGAGATGCAGGTAACACAGGTAACACAGGTAACACAGGTAACACAAGTAACACAGGTAACACTTACCTTTTGAGTTTATTGAGCACAGCTGGGTCAGGGGTTCCCATGACATCATGAATCTTGGCAATCTGGTCCACCTCGTTAGAGCCAGGAAACAAGGGGTGTAAACTACAACACAATGTATAGGATTGTAGATCAGTTTAAAATAGAATAACAATGTCATGAGTATAGAGGGAATATTAATTTTTGTAATATTATTTTGTGGTATTAACATTTTTAGATAAAACAATTGTAATATTTTTACAAATTATTTTTAAAACAAAATGTTTTGGTCCTATTCTTTATGGTACATATCTTAACTGTGCCACCATTTCTGGTACAATATTTTTGGTACAATACTATATATACATTTCTTTATTTTACAATAATTGCTAATAAAATAATTTTGGTACAATACTTTATGGTACATTACTTTATTGTACTATAATTGATTGTACATTTTTTTCTTAATTTAAAAAAAAAAATAACTATTTGGATGGCTTACACCAGGGGTCTCCAAACTACGGCCCGCGGGCCGGATGCGGCCCGCGAGGCACTCTCATCCGGCCCGCGGAGATCTTTTTGTCCACAGAAAAAACGCTTGTTGGTGATGTCTGAGGAACTTTGCCCACATAAATGAAAGACATGCCGGAAGAAACTGGCCCCCAAACTGAAATTTGATAGTTAATGCGGCCCTCGGACTGAAAAGTTTGGAGACCCCTGGCTTACACTATGAGAGACAAATATGTTTATTTACTAGAAGAGTTTAAGTAACATTTACATCAAGATAATTACTGCTGATGGAAATTATGTGTGCAGCTACTTGCAATAAAGACAAATGGCATTTCTTATATCTTAAATTTGTGTATAGTGTTGCGACCCTCACACTAGCCATACCAGGGTCACGTGCAAGGGAAGAAAACTTTGATACAATGACAAAATACACTGTTGGAGAATAAACAAAGAAGCCAGAGTAGTGGAGGCTGGAACTGACCTGAGAATCTCAAAGAAAACACATCCAACACTCCAAATATCCATTTTGTATCCATAGTATCCATCTGTTAAGAGACACTCAGGGGCTCGATACCTAAATAGATATTTATCAGATTTTTAAATTGAATTTTTTAAGCAGATCTCTACTTCAACATTTAAAGTAAATCTAGACCCATTTTTTAATTTTAAGTAGCTCTCTACTATTACATTTAAAGTATATCTAGATCAACTTTTATAATTTAAAGTAGATCAAGATCTATTTTTTATATTTAAAGTAGATCAAGATCTATTTTTTTTATATTTAAAGTTGATCTTTTAAGAAAGTTGAAAGCTAGACCAGAAAATTTTTATCAATTGGGTTTAGGAGAGAAGAGCTACTTGTTTAATGAAAGAAAGTATTAACTTTTGTTTTTTTTCGGATGAGAGAGAGGGCTGAATGTTAGGGGGGTAATTTCTTATTTTGAATATAAGATGGGGTAGTTTCTTATTTGAATAAGAGAGAGAAATACTGTTTCTTGCTTCTAATGAAAGAGATGACTTTGTTTCTTGTTTTGGAATGAGAGAAACTGACGGGTTCATTTTATGATAAGCACAGCTAGACATACCATCTGGTGGAGATGTATTCCGTGTAGGGTTTCTTTGAGTAAATACTTCTACACGACCCAAAGTCTGCAAGCTTCAGCAAATCATCCTATTGTTCAGCCAAGACAGTACAAAAGAAAAAGAAAAAAAAAACAGGTGTAAAAATAATAAAATATAAAGTATCCATTGTTTTTACACAATGCTGTTAGCCTTAAGGCAAGTTTGCACAACACAAGTGACTTATGTGTTTGTTGTATATATACTACTTCACAAAAATAGTTAGTGGGTGTGCTTTGGTTTACTACAATTAACTCTGTTCAAAGTCTTTCTACAGAATGCAACCAGTGTTTCTTCCAGACTTTTTTCTCCGGGGGGCACTTGAAATTTTCGGGGGGGTGGGGGGGGGGGGGGGGGGCGGTAGACTTTCTTCGGGGGGGGGGGGGGGCGGGGGGGGGGGACACTGTATATATATTCTATATAAATTATATAAATTTCATTTCGTTTGGGGGGGGGGGGGGGGGGGGGCGGTAAAAATTTTTCGAGGGGGGGCGAAGAAGAAACTCTGAATGCAACACTATTGTAGACAGATTTTACTGGTGTTTTTTTTGTTCAACTTCTTATAATAAACTGCCCATAAACCTTGATTAGTGCTGGCCATACATTTAGTTCAGTGAACATGTTTGGCCTAGCTGGCATACCTGAATTTGGAATTAAAAAAAACATACACCAGGTCTAAACATAGCATTGACATAAGGAACTTATTCATTCAAAAAAATGTGTCTGTGCATTTATACCAAAAGGTCTAAAAAATAGACAGAAGCTATTTTGGACATCTTGGTATGGAAATGGACTTACCTCAGACCATTTAAGTAAAAAAATTAAAAATTAATAACCAGTGTGAATCAAGAAATGGACTAGTCAAGCTTATCATTATCAAGTTACCCTTTTGGACCTGCCAGTCAATAATGCAGTGAAGTAGAGTTCACTTGTTACCAAGACCTCTGCATATGAACGGTTAGGTGTTCTGCACTAAGCTCAGCAGGGTTTACTTTCCCTAATGTGTCAGGTACCCATTATAGCTGAGTAGACTCAGGGACTTCATGACTAAAGCCCTGGATCCAAACCTGAGACTTTTGGGTTAGACTTAGCAGTTGTGTGCTCTAGTGCCTGGCCACACTGTTCTAATGCTAGTCAAGAACAGCAGCTAAGACAACTCTGTTGTGTTACAACAACAAGAACAACAATTAATGTTTTTGTATTACAACAACAACAAAAACAATTGTTGTATTACAACAATTTATGTTGTTTTATTACAAAAATAACAACTGTTTGTTATATTACAATAACAACATTTAATGAACTATTGTTGTATTACAACAACAAAAACATCAACAGATGTTGTTGTGCTGGTCTAACAGACGACCACACCGCCAACCTTGATGAGGATGTTCTCTGGCTTGACATCTCTGTGGAAGATTCCATTCCTGCAGGAGAGGGGGGTTAAAATTAGGGCATCACACAAGTAGGTTGTTGCATGTTATTGGGGAAGTATGTCATTGATGAAGTAGGTCAAGTCACGAGCACGTGTTTGCAGAAGTAGGTCATGGCTTAAGTAGGACAAGTAACAAGTGTGTTATTTGGGAAGCAGGCCATGAGTCATTAGTTCAAGTCACAAGTATATTATTGTGTAAGTAGGTCATGGCTAAAGTAGGTCATGACATGCGTGTGTTATTGCGGAAGGTCATGTACATTGAAGTAGTAGTACAAATAAGTCAAAGTGCAAGTAGATAATGTCATTAGCATGGCATGAAGCCAAAACTAGGTCATGAAGCATAGTAGGTCAAGTTTTGATAGGTCTTAACTGAAGAATTCCATGGTGCAAGTAAGCTATGGCACACATGTGTGGTGCTCGTAGGTTATGTCGCTTGTAGGTCACATCACAAGTAGGTCATGACACACATGGGTGATGGTTTAAGTAGGTCGTTGTAAAAAAAGGTATTGATCACAATCTACACACAAACTAAACTACACAATATATCTAAGTTTAAATATGTGCAAAGTGTGAGCATGTTTCAAAATATTTTTTAAAAAATTATCGATTAAAAAGCAAATTGTTAAAGCCAGCTAGCCAGCTTAAAATGAAAATAAAAAGGTTGAACTGAAGTAACATGAATATATGCCAGATTGAAAGCATATTTAAGTTAGTTGCTGTTACATAAAGCAAAAGTGAAGTTAGATGATAGGATTGCATACAAAAAGCATATTACAGAGAGCATATAAAACAATAACGACATACGCACTTCGCCTGAGCTAAATATAGGCATGATGTAATAATAGGCCTACAGTCTACGATTAGCCAAGATATGATATTGTCTGTCCCACGGTTCCTATTTACGTCACAGTCTAGACGGCGACCCGTTGTTACGTCATAGTCTAGACAGTCATTCGTTGCTAAATCATCATCTAGACTACAGTGATTTGAAGATACGTCATAGTCTGGAATGTGACTCGATAGGTCCTTATACAACTACGCACATCGTCTACATGCATAGGCCGCAAAGTTACATAAAAAACAAACAAAAAAAACTAGCATGTGAATGACACTATTGCGTCATAGTCTAGCCAGCTAATCACACTAATTAAGAAACGAGCCTGATTAGCTTATAATTCCATGTAACGAGCGTCTACATTAGATACGATAATAATATAAGCAGACGACACATAATTAAGCCATTGTGATCTGCCCAGGATAAGCCCGAAATCCAGACAGTGAATTATCCACAACAGCTATCGCTGTCTAAAACCTCCTATTGTTTACATAACATCTAGGGCTCTGTGATGACGCAAACGTAGCTATATTTAAAATAGGTCAAGCTTTTGAGAGTAGGTAGAATTATATTTTCAACTGGATGAGAATATACAATATTAGAAGAGTAAACGATTTCCCCTACAATACAAAAGTTGTAAATATTAAAAACTTTCCCAGCAAACTCTCCCTATCATAGTGCTATGAAGCAGGGTCCTTGTTTTCTTTGGTGAACGGAAAAAAAGTCACAGAAAAAAAGTAGGTATACAACCTACGCACATATATCTAAAATGTTTACATTACATGTAAGTTAGTTTGCACTCTCTGAGTATGTAATACATAAAAGTATTAACAAATTCCATGCAAATATATATTTGTGTTTTTTTTTTCTGAGACTTTTTTCTGTGATTTTTTTCCTGTTTTTTTTTCCTGTGACTTTTTTTTCCTTTACTTTTCCTACAATCGTTTTTTTTAAAGGATAGTGTACATATTAAATTATTATAAAATATCGAAATATGACATTATTTACGTAATCCCATTCTAAAATAAATAGCTTTTTTCGTAGACCATCACCCCTCGTATCATTTTATATTTAGCAAAAAAAAAAATAATAATAATCCCTTCGCTAAAAGCACATTTCTATAACTTTTTCCAGCACTTGTCTTTGTTTATGTAAGGCTGTAAAGGTTATGGTTAGAATTGTAGAGTAACCAAGGTTCGATTAGACCCTGGCGATGAAAAAAACAAAAACGAAAACAACGAAACACATTGATGTGAAGTGATCTAAGATCAATGTGAGATCACCCTGGTTTGGGCGAGTTGTGTCAAGTGACCGCGAGCACTGCAGGTGATAGAACACGTGCGCGGGTGAGCGTGAAGAGCCAACAGTGAGCGAACACCTTACCGGTGCAGGTGGTCAAGGGATTTGGTCAGCTGGTACATAAAGTTTCGGACAGTCGCGTCGGTCAGCATCTCCTTCCGGCCTGTGAAGAGAGGGGACGTTTTAGTGCTGGGGTGGGGACGGGCGGGGCAGTGAACCCAATGGAGGTCAGTGAACTCATAGAAGGTCAGTGAACTCATAGAAGGTCAGTGAACTCATAGAAGGTCAGTGAACTCATAGAAGGTCAGTGAACTCATAGAAGGTCAGTGAACTCATAGAAGGTCAACGAATCCCCATGGGAGGTCAATGAACCCATGAACTCAGTGAACTTTTAGAAGGTCAGTGAACTCACTGAGAGATCAGTAAACCACAAGAGGTCATAAAGCCAAATGAAAGGTCACTGAACCCAAGGCAGGTCTCCGAACATCATAAACCCGTCGTCACGTCAGTAAATCAGCGGTAAATCAAACGATGTATGTCAGTGAACCCAAGACAAGTCAGTGAACCCAAGACAAGTCAGTGAACCCTAGACAAGTCAGTGAACCCAAGACAAGTCAGTGAACCCAAGACAAGTCAGTGAACCCTAGACAAGTCAGTGAACCCAAGACAAGTCAGTGAACCCAAGACAAGTCAGTGAACCCTAGACAAGTCAGTGAACCCAAGACAAGTCAGTGAACCCAAGACAAGTCAGTGAACCCAAGACAAGTCAGTGAACCCAAGACAAGTAGTGAACCCAAGACAAGTCAGTGAACCCAAGACAAGTCAGTGAACCCAAGACAAGTCAGTGAACCCATGTCAAGTCAGTGAACCAACCAGAGGTTAACGACCCCATGAAATTAAAACAATTGCGTGAGGTCTTTACATATCAAGACAAAGTTCAGTCCGACGATAGACGGTCAGTCAACATATAGCCGGTCAGTCAACATATGGCCGCCAAGTGATCCTTTAGCCAGCCCAATCAATCAATGAACCCAAAATATGCTCAAGGCCCAGCAGTAGTTCCAATCACACCATCTTATCGGAAGTGGGTTGAGGGGGTTGTACAAAAGACAGACTGTACAAGAACGCTGAGGGGGATCACAAAGTGGGTTAAGGGGGAGGGGCACTTAAAATTTCGGAATGGGGGGGGGGGGGGATAAATTTTCCGGGGGGGGGGGTGGGAGGACACTGGTAAACGTGAATTTTTTCCAAATAAATTATATTTCGTTCGGGAAGGGAGGGGGGCGGGGCGGTAGACATTGTTCGGGGAGGGGATGCTAGAAAGAAACTGTATGAGTTGCCTTAAATGTAGCTGACTCAAAAAACACACAATCAGATTTTAGTGTTTTTTTTAAGTTTGTAAAAAAAAAAATCACTATTCTATCCAGGAAGAGGAAGCATCATAATTAGTAAACAACTAATTAGAGATAACTAATATTGATTTTCGAACTCAATTAACTTTTGGGCGGTGGTTAAAGATTTATACAATGGTATTGGGTAGGACCATGTTTGAGATCTTTGTTGACTTTATTTTCTTAAGTAGACTAACGCTCAGTGTGTAAATATTTGAATGTGTTATGATAGAGGGCTAGAGGCTAGTTACCCTTATCAGAAACAAAATGGACTCGTCCATCTCAATTCAGCCGACTGAAACAACGGAAACAGCAAACTGGCAAATAAAAAAATCTAACAAGGATTACGTTAAGAGAACAAAATACAAAAAGTTAGAAGCGGGTATTGGCAGAAGCATTAAATGGCGCTCAGCGGGTTTATGTTGTTAAATCGTGTATTTGAAATCAATCAATGTTTTTTTTCTTCTTCCTTTTATACGGGTTATTTTTGTATCTCATTGTCCGATTTTGGACTCTTCCGAAATGGGGGTGTCAGGTTGTTGTCATTAGAATTACTAACATTAATTAACCTAGTACTAGTCGCTCCAATTACTAAAAGCCTTAATAAAGGTTCATTACAAGCTAAACACCCCCCCCCTCCCGAATCTGTTTAAAGAAAATCCAATATCAGATTGTAATAGGTACAATTATCTTATTATCATTTCAAATTATCGCTAAATCAAATTCAGCTAATGGTCAGTGGCGTAGCCAGGATCGTCTCAAGGGGGGGGGGTTCCAATTTTTACCCGGGGACAAACTTTCGATTTGCACCCCCCCCCTCAGACTTTTTATTTGCACCGCCCCCCCCTCCCTCAAACTTTCGATTTGCAAACTTTATATATATACCGAGGGGTCCATGGGGGGTTTATGACCCCCTAACCCCCCCCTGCCTACGCCACTGCTAATGGTACCCATACTTTAGCCCCCCCCCCCTCCCCATATTTATAGAATTCAAATACTAATAGTCACACTGATCTGATTCAAAACTGAGCGCCATTTTGACGTTAGTTTGTTGAGCAGGGAGGAAGCAGGCGAGTGCAAAAGGTGAAGGTCAGCGTGGTAGGGAAGGCAAGCCCGCCTTACCGGTGCATGTGATCGATAGACTTGAGCAGTTGAAACATGTAGTTTTTGATGGTTTTCTCCGGCAGGTAATGTCTCTTGCCTACAACAGAGGAGGGGGGGGGGTAAAGTAATTTGTTGATTGGGGGGGGGGGTATTGTCTCTTGCCTACAACAGAGGAGGGGATATGTAATTTGTTGACTGGGGGTGGGGGGTATTGTCTCTTGCCTACAACAGAGGAGGGGGTATGTAATTTGTTGACTGGGGCGTGGGTGTTATTGTCTCTTGCCTACAACAGAGGAGGGGGGGGGGGGGTAAGTAATATGTTGATTGTGGGGAGAGGTAATGTCTCTAGCCTACAATAAAGAGGGGGGGGGGGCTAAGTAATTTGTTGACTGGGGGGGATTGTCTCTTGCCTACAACAGAGGAGGGGGGTATGTGATTTGTTGACTGTGGGGGGGGGGATGGGGGAGGGGGGGGGGGAAAGAATGTCTCTTTCATACAACAAAGGAGGGGGGTTATGTCGTTTGTTCATTGATGTGTATGTGGGTGGGGGGGGGGTAAATGTCTTTTGACTACAACAGAGGAGGGTCTTTTTTAAAGTGTTAATTGGTGTTTTGGTGTGGAAGGGGTAATGTTCTTTGCCTGCAACAGAGGAGGGGGGTTATTTAATTTGTCAATTTGTGGGTGTGTAGTGGGATGGGGGGAGGGGTTTTGAGAACCTGTTGATGCCATAGACTGATGTATGGTCTCTGGCGATACACTACTGGCGTAGATGTACGCCTCTGTAGGTACATGGATATTAACCCTTTGGTCTCACTGTGGAAATAGCCTACAACCCGAAATCTAAATAGCATACTCAACACACACAAAAAATAACCTCTAACATAAATTCTAAACATAAAATAAATAAAACCTAATTAATTTAAAAAAAAAAACATAAACCAGTTGGCGCAGTTCTCACAGCCTTGGAACATTTTAAAAATATCAACACACCAAATGTGAACAATTTAATGAGTAACCAAATCACATCTATGTGATATTTTTTAACACGCCACAAAAAAAATATTGTAAATGCTGCTTCTATCATAACAAAATAATGAATTGGGTCTCTGATAATTTAAACTAGAATTCAAATACGGCAGGAAATGTACGTTTTGTTATCATATAACTGAAGGAAAAAATATATGTTAAAACATGCATTAGTCTTTGTGCGAGTTTGGTATGGGTATTTAGTGAGATATATATTTGTTCTCCAATGTTGCGATATCCCACTTTGTGAGGTGTTTTTTTTTTAATTAAAAGCTTCTGTATTATTTTTTTAAACTTCCAAAAATGAGGGCAGGCTTATTGATTGTATCAAATATTGTGTGACACAAAATAATAACTTTTTTTAAAAATCCAATTAAATTAATTTGCATCATAATTGTAGGCCTATAATTATTCAAATCAACGAATCGACCTGTTGAACAATACATAAATATAGAACCAAATACGTGACAAAACTATTAAATATAGATCTATTTTAAACAAAAAATCAATATACAGACATACATCGACCAACACATACTATATACAAGACAACCAAATGAACATATTTAAAAACGGGTAGCCGGGCATATAAAACCTACATACGCCCGTTATATTCACATTCAGTATGTAGATCAATACACACGTCTAGTATCAATTTCAACGTTAAATAAAATAAACGCGCTTTCCACCCAATTATTTATACCACACCGTTTAATTGGGACAAAAAGCTTTTCATTTCAATCATCTTAAAAAAAAATTAAACGATCTTTTCCCAACCCTTACACCGTATGTTAAAACAGGTAATTAATAGGCTGGGTAACCAAAGGCAGAACAATCGTGAATGGCGATATAAAACATGTATGTTCAGTCCGGGTCGTTTGCAGACACCCAAGGGACATAATCAACGCGATATTGATCGATAGCCAATGAGACTTGATTTATTTATTTAGTAGGCCAAACGGTGTTAGGGTTCGAGCGAGAATTAAAAAAAAAAAAAAAGCTGGCATATCGCCCAGCATGGGTCGTGGCTGTGGAAGGGATTAAACGATTCATTTTTCCGGGTCTGAATGTCCATTAAAACAATAGAAATCTAAATTTTAAAAAACGTTATAGAAAAATAGCATTGGGTTATGCGATGAATGTATTGTTTTTGTTTGTGTTGAATATTCAGCAGCGACTACTACAGCAGGAATATAGGAGTGAGTTCCCCTTGTGACCAGTACATAAATAGAAACGACCCGACCGTAAAAAGGTTAGGTGACGTCCAAACCACTCCAGGGGACGCAACTCCGCTAAACTGTGCGGACACGCGTGACCGAACACGGACAACTCAGTCAAGCGTAAAATTGATTTTTCGCTCTATTATTTGATGTAAATACTGATCACGTGGGTTCGGTCCTACTTAAGTTAAACCTACGACAAGAAAGAGGTTTTTTTTTTCTCTTTTTATTGCGCGGTTCTGTAGTTCTGCAGTGAATATTTAAATCAATTCTTCGAGATCGTGAAAGTGACTTGGTATGCCAGTGAAAACGAAAGACAAAAAAAAAACGTGGTTTGTTTATAATATGGCGTTTTCACTGTCGAAGAACCAAAAATATTTTTAACGCTATTTACGTGTGTTAGTAGAAGTAGGACAACCCAGTTTATGTTATGACATGGAAGACAACCCAAGGCCAACCCATTCCATTTTGCCAGGCTGCAGGTGGGGTCAACCCTACTCACTTCCTCTGCGATGTATGGGTCATGCCAACCCCTATTGGCTAAGATGTATGGGTCATGCCAACCCCTATTTGCTAAGATGTATGGGTCATGCCAACCCGTTTCTGCTAATTTGTGTGGCCCAACTCAACCCCTTCAGCTTAGGTGTATGGGTCATGCCAACCCGTTTTTGCTAAGACGTATGGGTCAACCAAACCCCCTTCTGCTAAGATGTATGGGTCATGCCAACCCGTTTCTGCTAAGATGTATGGGTCATGCCAACCCGTTTTTGCTAATTTGTATGGGTCAACCCAACCCCCTTCTGCTAAGATGTATGGATCATGCCAACCCGTTTCTGCTAAGATGTATGGGTCAACCCAACCCCCTTCTGCTAAGATGTATGGGTCATGCCAACCCGTTTCTTCTAAGATGTATGGGTCAACCCAACCCGCTTCTGCTACGATGTATGGGTCAACCCAACTCCCTTCCACTGCGATGTATGTGTCAACCCAATTTGGTCAATCCGACCCCCTTCTGCTAAGATGTATGGGTCAATCCAACCCATTTCTTCTAGTATATGTGGGTAGACCCAACCCACTTCTGCTAAAAATCCAAAATGCCTCTCATACAAAACCACTCTGTCAACATACAACTAGCCACATCCAACACATCTGCACATACACGTAAAAACATCAACAGCAGAGACACAGACTTTTAATTATTGCCTCTTCAAATACTAATACATACATTATTTAAACACCATCCATTCATAAACACCCTGGGGGCACCCCAACCCACACCCCATAGATCCGCCATGGCATCAAGACAAGGGTACCTAATCCTTTCAACCAGCAAGACAATATTTTCGCCCGGCAGATGACGTCACAGTACACATACAAACAAGGAGAAGAGAGTGCTCACCCCTTATCAGCTCATAAATATTCATGTCCATCAGCTCACAGACCAGGACCAACGTGCCAGATTTTTTGTCACTGCAAACCAAAAACAATTTATTAGGAAACAGTTGTAAAAATTGAATTACTGAATGGTTTATTAGGTTTTAATATTATCAAAAAACAGATCCCTGTGTAGAACTATTAGCCTGTCAAATTTATTAACAACTTCAATAATCTTTGGTAATTTAATGTACAGAAAAACGATACATTACTTAATTTTTAAATTCTGTGGCTGTTTTTAAACTGCTAGTATTTAATTTTAAACTGCTAAGCAGGGTCAGATGATGGCCAGATTTTAAAGGTCAAATACAGACTGGGGTTTTATTTTCTCGTAGTTTAATGATTTTTATTTGAAAAATGATTTAAGAATGTAGGCCTACTTCAAAATTTATTTAAAAAAAAAAAAAAAAAAAAACCAACGGAAACCTACAAAACGACTTCCATCAGTTCCAGAATGTTCGGGTGAGGTGCCAGACGTTTCATGGCTTGGATCTCCCTCAAGTTGTTCACCTGCTCCAGGCTGGAATAAAATTAAAATGTCTAATTAATCAATTAATTAATTAAATGGGAATAAAAAAGTGTCAATGCCTGTTGATCTGCTTCAACTGTTTAGTCAATGCTGTTTATTAACAAACGTTGAAATGAAAACTGTATTTTCGTCTTTAAAGTTTGGGTTGTCATTCCTGAACGAGTGCTGTTTCTTGAGTTAGGTCAGGGCAGGAAATAAACGGGTGGAAAATATGTAAATCTTTGTAGCTAGGTGCTTTCATGGTAAATTGGAGGCGAGGGGAGGGGGGGAGGGGGTGAGGAGGGCGTGGTCCCATAAAAAGTCTCGAGTTCGAACCCCCTGGCAGATGAGGCTCGATAGCTGGGAACAGCAACCCATCTAGGAGAAACTCCAAAAATCAAACAACTGCTGCCTTCTGGATATTGAAAGGACAAAGGCTAAGGAAGCATGGAAGCACTCTCTCTACACCTTGTCCTTAGAAAAGCAGGCTGAAATTGGAGTCAACGGCCTACATGGCACATAACCAGTTGACACGTGATACTTGTGTTGGAGGAGATCGTCAAACTAGAACTAACAGGTTCTAGCATCAATTTTTCACAAATATTTTGTACAGAATCTTGTTAATCTAAAGTGACAAGCTACATTACTTTGTACTACTATAGTGAGACTCTGCTATGATTGATAATTGTTTGTATATAAAAAAAAACCAAGCGCCACTATCTAGAAAATAACACTAGCCTCACGCCTACCCTTTGCCCGACATTCTCTCCATGCCTAACCTAACCCCACGCTTTAATCCCAACTCCTTGCTTTAACCAAAAACGCCTTGCTTTATTTAATACTAACCCCATACTTCAACACTAATCCCATGCTTTAACCCTAATACCACGCTTTAATCCTAACCCCTTTCTTTAAACCTAACCGCATGCTTTAAACATAACCCATTATTTAATCCTAACCCCATGCTTTAACCCTAAACCCATGCCTAGCTCTAGCTTCAAAGATGGACGTATCTAGCAAGAACGACCTTCAGCATCTCCATCACCTAGATATAACCACACGTTGTCACTACTCGTCACCCTAATCAAATACGACCTTCTAGTTCTAACGATCTTTTTATTTTAACCCTTCCCCCACTCCCAATGCTTCCGTTTCTTAAAGTGTTAATAATTCATGCACCAGTAAACTCTTGGTATCGACGTCTATAAAAACGGTGGTGAACACATTGGTAGAAATGTTTGATCAGCATTCCCTCCCTCCCCCCACCCCCCTCCCCCATGGTACATGAATGATCTGAGATAAAACAATGATACCTGGTTGCGGATATCCGTTGTTTAAAAAAGTTTTGTTATTCCTTTTTTTTTTAACTACGCATGCCACCCCCCCCCCCCCCCCAACATCCACGTCACAAATAAATTACAAAAGGTCTGAATATTTTTCCCCTTTGTGTGTGACGTCACTTATACACGCCCCCTCCCCCCCCCCCCCCCCCTTCCTTTCGCTCAAAGGTTGGCAGCCTTTATTCGATAAGGAACTTTATTATTGTACAATCAACTTGGTTTTTGTTTTGTTTTTATGACAGAAAAATGTCCCAAGTACACGATCAATATGTTTTTAACCACGAAACAAAACATTTTTTTTACATCACAATTATTGTCGTGAACAAGTTCATTCATAAATAAGTTATAAGGGTTGAGTTGGGGTTGGGGGAGATAGTGTCTTCTGTGTTATACATCTTTTGTTCATATTTAAAAGAAAATTATGAAATACAAGTTTATTTTCTTGTAAATTATTCTTAAGAAAAAGGAGGAGGGGGTGAAGTTGAGACTCTTACTAGTTTATTAGAGGATAATCTGGATTTTCACAAGCTTTTATTTAGTTTGCAACATCTGTTTGTTTTGTTGGTTTGTTGATTTGTGGGTTGGTGGCAAATCTTGTAACTCCATTTTGACCACTTCTAATGTACCGATTTCGCTCAAACTTTCCAGATGTGTTCCAATTTGATGACAATACAAGTCTATCTATTTTTCAATTTAATTAGATGTGTAATTAGTCATTAAAATTAATTAACCGTCTTCGAAACTAAGGGGGGATAACAAAATCAAATCACTAGATAGAATACTGTATTCAATAACAGAAGGGGAGATAACTAGCTAGCCGCGATCACCAGAGTTTCTTCCAGGCATCTCTTCGGGGGGGGGGGGGGGCTTTGCCCCCCCCCCCCCCCGAAAATTTTTTACCGCCCCCCCGAACGAATTGAAATTTATATAATTTATATAGAAAATATATACTTTTAACAGTGTCCGCCCCCCCCCCCCCCGAAGAAAGTCTACAGCCCCCCCGAAAATTTCAAGTGCCCCCCGGAGAAAAAGTCTGGAAGAAACACTGGCGATCACCCTAACAGTCTGTCTGGTGAGCTGTGGTTCACGAGAATGTTTACAATCGTAGAGCCGGTCGATCTAGTGAAGGCTAATAGGGGCAGATAATAAAGTTTTTAAAATGATTTAAAACTAAGGGGAGACAACAAGATGAAGAACTTGCTGGCGTCTGTAAAATATGGTCACGGACGGCTGCTTTCAAGGGGCAGATAATCGTCTTTCAGATATAGCGACACAAGCTTTTATTATGAAAGAATGCAGATTAGTTTTCTTTTCTTATTTTCTGTGAATTTAAAAGCCTGTTGCTATAAACTACAAAGGCTTTTTATATTTTTTGGCGATTTTCCGTGATACTATGGTAAAGGGGGATGGGCAGGAGTGGCAAAGTAACGTCCTCTCCTCCCCCATCCCCAACCAATGGTTAAAACGATAACACACAAACAAGTGCCATGGACGAGGGACAAATCCCAGAAACTTAACAAAAACAAATCATGAACTGTTGTCAGTGACTTGTTCCTTATGTGATTCACGTTGTCTCTAATCTCATTGTTAAACCACCCCACAGTAAATACAAACGAACCAATCAGCACTTTCGTCTTTTATCAACTGGTATTGATTTTTTTTTGTCTTCCCCCAGTGATAGTCCGACACTGTCAAGGTTCGTATTCATTATGCAGTAGTTTAGCACTATGAGTTTAGGGGGCGGGGTGACTGTAGGTGCCATTTTAACACGTCGCAGAAGGTGGAAACTTGAATTATTTGAGATCCTAAGAATAGACCTAGTAGTCTGCTCGTTGTTCGAGAAGAAGGTGGTCGGGTGGTAGGGGGCACGAACACTAGTTCACCCAGCTATGATAGGTACTTGACTCAAGTTAGGGAAAGTAACTGACCACATAGAACTGACCAGTAAATCTCTTCGTATGCCGTAATCACAGAAACAGGGGGAGCTCGATTCCACCTGAACTATTGACCATAGAGATCATCAATAAAGGACTTGACGCTTTTTTTTTTTTTACTATTTTTACATTTCCTCCACCCCCCCCCCCCCTCCCCTCCGCCACACACCATAATAAAAAAGCCAGACCTCCTTCCCCTAAAATGACCTCACACCTCCAGCCTACAACCCCCCCCCCCCTCTACATACTGCAGTTTCATTTTTTAAAACATCGATTTCTTTCTAAAGTGTTAACATGGAGTATCTACTTCTATCTTCTATATATATAATTCTCTTCTGGGAGCCGTTAGAAAACAAGCTGCAAGCGCCTCCTTGCAGTCCCCTCTCTTTCTCTCTGTCACTATTACTACCACCCCCACCCCACCCCCACATTGTCTGGTGAGTTGTGGTCACGCTAAATGTTTACAAAGCTAAATGTTTACAAATCGTAAGGCCTTCGAGTCGGGTTTCTATTAGGGGCAGATAATTTAGTTCGATTTTAACCTTACAGGAGGTAACTAAGAAATAACTAAGAGGAGGCTGCTTTCACGGGGGGGGGGGGGGGGTGTAGGGTCGGGGTTAGGGGAAAGGGGGGGGTAAGTGTTTTAAAGCAAATATTTTCAGTGGCAGCATTGGTACTGTCGAATTCACAAATTATGAATTACTGAAAAGTAGAAAATAAAACAACTAAATAGCGGCGTATGATACGCTGTGGGTCGGCTCGTATATATAATTCTCTTCTGGGAGACGCTAGAAAACAAGCTGTAAAACGCGCTCCCTACCACCCCACCCTTACATGGTCTTAGTGAGCTGTGTTCACTCTAAATGTTTACAAACAGAACCGGGTTTAGTGACGACTATTAGGGGCAGATAATTTAGTTTGAAACGATTTTAAACGTGGGGGGGGGGGGGGGGGGGAAGAAAAGGGGGGGGGGGTTATGGTCCTTAACGAGCTACTTATAGTGTTTTAAAGAAATATTTTCAGTGGAAGCGTTGGTACTGTCGAATTCACAAATTATGAATTACTGAAAAGTAGAAAAAACAACAACTAAATAGCGGCGGCGTATGTTATGCCGCGGGCCGGCTCGTATGAAATATTAATCCATTTCTATCTTATCCTTACAGAAAACACATCTTACCCTAACACACAACACATCTTACCCTAACACACAACAAACCTTACCCTAACACACAACACATCTTACCCTAACACACAACACACCTTACCCTAACACACAACACATCTTACCCTAACACATCTTACCCTAACACATCTTACCCTAACATACAACACATCTTACCCTAACATACAACACATCTTACCCTAACACACAACACACCTTACCCTAACACACATCAAATCTTACCCTAACACACAACACATCTTACCCTAACACACAACACATCTTACCCTACCACACAACACACCTTACCCTAACACACAACACATCTTACCCTAACACACAACACATCTTACCCTAACATACAACACATCTTACCCTAACACACAACAAACCTCACCCTAACACACAACACATCTTACCCTAACACACAACACATCTTACCCTAACACACAACACATCTTACCCTAACATACAACACATCTTACCCTAACACACAACAAACCTTACCCTAACACACAACACATCTTACCCTAACCCTAACACACAACACATCCTACATTAACACACAACACATCTTACTCTAACACACACATCTTACCCTAACACACAACACATCTTACCCTAACACACAACACACCTTACCCTAACACACAACACATCTTACCCTAACACATCTAACACACAACACATTACCCTAACACATCTAACACAACACATCTTACCCTAACACACAACACATCTAACACACAACACATCTTACCCTCAAACATCCCACATCTTAATCTACACAATCTAGCAAGCAAATAAAGTTAACATACAAGATGTATGAAAAATAATTATATCACTGAATTGTTCTATTAGGCAAACAACACTCCATTAAATTATTTGTAGATTCATGGAAATATTATGAGTGAAGTTATATAATTTTAGACAAAGGCATGATAAACTTAATTCTTACGGGTTGTTCATAAATGTTGTCACACAATCTTAGCTAATTCCATCCCCTCCACCAATGCACCTTACCACCATAATTATCTAAATTCCATTTTAAAATATCAGAAATTAATGACACCTCTCCAATAAATAAAAATCACCTAACAAAAGTTAAAATACTCATAATTTTTTTTTGAACAAATACAATACATACTACATCCCATTTCTTACCACCACCCCCTCCTTGCCCACCCCCCCCCCACATGCATAGCAAAAAAAGTCTGAATCCCCCCTTTTCCCCATAAGTGTGTAACCATCATGTATCTACTCTCCTAAAGATTCCTACCTTTCATAGGTTTGTTTCATCTTTTTGCAAGCCCTGTAGGAGCCATCTTTGATGACTTGAACTTTGAGGACCTCAGAGAAGGTCCCCTCACCCTTCTTTCCAAGGATCCGATATTCTGTACAGAGTTGATAAAAGTTTTGTTATATTTCTGGTTATAGTTTTTAAGATTTTATGAATGGTGTGGCCTAGTGGTAACCTGAAAATCTTTAGTTCGAATCTGGGTTCAAGTCAGTAGAATGTACCAGAGTCTACCCAGCTCTGATGGGTATCTAACTCACATTAGGGAAAGTATATGTGGCTGGGAATAGTGCTGATCACACTATCCCTTAACTACATGCTGAGGTCACAGAAACAGGTGAATTCTACTTTCAATATCTCCATGGACCAACAAGTTTAAAAAGGGAACTTTACTTTTAGGTTCTAAGATTTTGCTGCAGTGTATGATTACATAGGTGATCTTGCTTTAAAGTATTCAATTATGTAAGCAATTTCCCATCATTTTACCTCAAATAAACAGAAAGTAACCTTCCTAAAATAACACAAACAAATTTTACATTATTTTCTAGCATTTTAATATTTGAAACTTACTTTGTGAAAGTAGGTTCATCCAGGAAAGAGTATGTAGAGCATCGACAAGGTTCCTTTATTAATATCCCATAGTGCTGTAAGAAGAAGGTCACTGACACCATACACGACTACATTTATTTTTATCCAGTTAGAAAGTACTTCACATTTTTTTCAGACCTGCAGTGGATATTAGAAATATCTTTAAATCATAAATAAATAAATTAATTAATCAATAATACATAATTATATTTATCACTTTAATCATACTTTTATGTGTGTGTGTCATTATGTACATTGAAATCAATCACCAGGAACAGTTAATCACATCATCATGCTGACTGTGTTATTAGGATATCGGGTTGCAGTCTATACTGTAGCCTAATAAAAAAATATTTATACAGGTCTTGGAACCCTAGTTTTATAGGCTAAGCCCCACTGGACTTTTAATACGAACTAGCTTATACCAGTGCTTTGCTAAGGTAATAATATTGGCACAACATCTGGATGTCCAGCCAAATTTCCATCCTCCCCCAACACTTGGTGTAATGTGGACTGCCACCAAACAACACATTTCCCTGGGTGTCTGCCACAAGGAATAACTCATCACCCTTTACATGCTTGAAATGCACACGCCCTACACATACCACTGTGCTAGTGAGAACAAAGTGGCCATACCCATGACTGATTGACACACTACCTGGCCACCTATGTTCCCTCTAAGCTGTGCGGTTGCGCAGCCGCACAGTAGTTTTAACTGCTGTGCAGTCATTTTGTAAAATACATGTATCTTTATTTAAGACTTTTAGAACACAGCGCACACAAAATATACATTGCACACGATCTTTTTCCCCTTAGAGGGAACATTGCAGGCCATTTATATCATTTATATTGGTGGTGAATGGATTGAATATTTTTAAAGCTTTGTAGGTTCTCCTAAAAATGCTACAATAGTATTGCACAAATTATGTGTGTTTGAATGATAGTGTCATCATTAGGATTACTAATGTTCTGTAGCATCACAATATGGTGGCAAGAAGGAGGTGGGGCAATGTCAAAAACAAGTTTTACCCAGTTAAGACTATAAAATAGTAGAGAAGAGGGGTGATACCAAAACAAAAATGCTAAATTGTTAGGAGAGGAGTGGGGTGACACCCTTAATTACAACATTGGAAAACATCCAACCAGCTACTGCTAATGTTACTGTCCTCAGCATCCTGTGTTTGTTTTTAAATACAAATTTTTAAAATTTAGCTTGACGAATGATGTTTCAAAGCCTAAACTTTTAAAATTATTTAGGCCTATGACTTAAACTTAACTGGGCTGAACAGTGTAACAGTAAAAACACTTATACTAATAGATAAATATGAATCCCTAATTAATACTTAACTAGACTAATAATACACTAGTTTTAGTTGTTTAGAATAATCTCTTCTTTCCTCTATAGCAGGGGTCTCCAAACTACGGCCCCTGGAGATCTTTTTGTCCAAGGACATGCCTGGAAGAAACTGGCCCCCAAACTGAAATTTGATAGTTAAAGCGGCCCTTGGACTGAAAAGTTTGGAAACCCCTGCTCTATAGCATGGTCTTTAATCTTTTTAATATATAAGGCATAAGGGTCTAGTACTTTACTTTTAACTTTGTTATTTAATATTTCGAATAATTCTAGAATCTAGTCATTCTAGAATCTAGATCTAACTATTAAACTAAAACGACTTAGTAAAGATAAAAGACTAAGTCCTAAGTCAAGTCTGACTAAGTTATTTAATTTATTTACTAGTTCTATTAATAACTATTATATAATTAGTAATTATTACTAATTAGACCTAGACTTAGATCTACAACTAGATCTAGATCTAGAATCTAGATCATCTGATCAGATTAGTTATAGATCTAGATCTAGATCTAGTTTTAGTAAGCTGTTTACAGTACAGTGTTTCTCAGTGTTTAGTGAGTGATAGATCTAGTGTTTAGCCGCGACTTCTTAGAATTCTAGAATCTAGATCTTCTCTGTCTGAATATGAATAATCGTGTCACAATACAATGTCAATACATTTACCTGTTGAATTAGGAAAACAGAAATTTAAGTTTTTAAGCCACATGATTACTCCATTTGACAGTAGTCTGGAACTCTAAACAAGATGTACGATTTACTCTACGCGACAGAAACAAATGAAATATGCATACAATTTTGCCGGAAGAACCCGACGTATGGCATTATTCGGGTCGTCATAACGACACAACTATAAGAGCTCTTTAGTTAGAGAAAATCGTATTCAGCAATCGTTTTCGTTTTCAGTCGAATTATTACTTAATTTATTTTTCGAGAATCTGTGGCCTATAAAATTCTAAACATATAGATCTAGAGTCTAGGAGTACTTTAAGAATAAGAAACTTTTAGAAGAAAATTTAAAACTTAAAAAGACCCTACTTTTATTTTTAAATTTAACAAAGTTACTGAAACAAAACTGATAATTTTAGATTTGTCAGGGGCACTTATCCATAGTTTCTTCCAGGCATCTCTTCGGGGGGGGGGGGGGGGTCCTACTACCCCCCTCCCGAAGAAAGTCTACCGCCCCCCGAACGAGATGGAATTTATATAGTAAACATACACTTTTACTAGTGTCCGCCCCCCCCCCCCCCCCCTCGAAAATATCGAGTGCCCCCCCCCCCCCAGGAGAAAAAAGTCTGGAAGAAACACTGCACTTATTGTGACGTCCACAAAAATCTGAATTTTATTTAGACCCCCACCTCCTCCTCCGGCGGACGTCATAAGAATTTAATAGACGCAACAGAACTCAGAATATTGATCAATACAATAACATGTGTATGGGTACAATACGATGCTAATAACACTAACAGGCCTATAAAGTAATATATCGATAGTTTTCAACCCCCCCCCCCCTCATTTTGAATATAGACATCCACAGATATAGTCCTGATATCTGGTGTATTAGAATATATATATATACATAATAAATGTATATTTTCTGTATCTATTTTCAATAAAAAACGTTATAAAAAATTTAAGTCAGATTTAATTTCAACAATGTAAATCATTGTGAAAGCCGTCATCAGGTGATGGATGTGGGGAATGTTCTAGCCACACCTGTATATAATTACCATGTTCAAAGGGGGGGGGTAATTTTTTTGTAGCAACACACATTATGTTAGAATATTTTGTTAAAATGGTTGAGAACTATACACCCCCCCCCCCCCCCATTAAAGTGAAGACAGTTACAAGGCTTTTTAAAATGATCTTTTACTTAAATGAAGGATAATCCAGTGAGAACAGAACAAATACAGTAAAAAAAAAACACAAGATAAGAGCTCTTCCAGGTTTATTGACTAAACATTGCATGATGGTATTAATCAACATAGGAAGGGGAATATATCTGTATGTACATTGAACATTTCAATTAAACATAAAAACATGAATATTACACACCATAGTAGTCTTACATACACATCTTTAAACATTCTTCCCAATCATACCCTGCATATTTTCATGCAGCTAACATAGGATTTTTTAATAAAATAAGTTGTTTATAATTAAAAGAAAACAATCTCTCATGTAAAAGATTTCTATTTGACAAGTCCCAGCTTTTTGGCTTCAGTTTCATAGACCAACAATCTCCACATCTTAACAACAAATACTTCTGCTTCTTCATCAAGAATCTAAAAAGAAACAACAAATTGTTTGAAAAATGTATATAATGTATAGTGCAGATTTTTTATCTTGTAAAATGGACAAGTGGTTTATGACTGTAGATAATTTTATTGGAATCACTACCTTAACAGTAAGTCTTACTGGCACCAAAGTACAAAAATAAAATAAAAAACACAACTACATATTTAGTTACAACTAAATGCTTAGTTTAGTAGAAAAGACAGACTTACCATAGCAACATCATTTTGTATACTCTGAGGTGTGCTCCTGGCAACAACTTTATGGCATATAAACTCTGTCAATGTTGGTTCCTCCTCTCCAATGTATTCAATAATTTTTTTGTTCACCCAAGGTTTGATTCTTTTATCCATTAAATTCTGATAAAGAAAAACCACACAATTTACAACTTGAATGGACAGTAGAAGTACATTACTTCATAATACATGACTGATAGTGATACCTTTAGAACATTGCAGAGATGTACAAGTAGTAAAGAACAGTGCCCTTTTAGACCTGGTGGTTTATAGTGTGGATGAAATTAAGTGTGTCTTTGAACTTAGGCACTAAAAAAAGCTGTATGGTCAGCAGTTAAATCAGGTACTCATCACACAACTTTGTGAAATATGATACGTTTTATGGACTTGAGCTCAAGAAACTGAGGCATTCAACTATTATCAAGCTGATCCACACAACGGGACAACAGAGTATGTGCTTAGACCTGTCACCAAAATAATAAGAATTACCTGATCAACAATATCCCAATCAACAGTGTAGGCATACAATTCTTCCTTTGCAGTAGGAATGCTTTCGATCAACTCTTTGATTTTCTGTCGCTTTTCCTCCGCTGTAGCCTTCTTATCTCCGCCAGCAGATTTGTCGTCGTCATAATCCAAAGGTATTAACTTTCTCTTTTTGGGTTCCATATTGTCATCATCATCTTGATTAAATACGTCCCCAATGGTAAACTTTTTGCGCTTGCCATCTAACTGTATAGAGGTGCCAGGTAAGCTGGAGGAATCTGGACTTACACTTGGTCCTGTCAACCACATTTTATATTATTTTAATTATTTTTTAACAATGAATTTTTCAAATGAAAGCCAAAGTTTTAAAAATATATTACCCCATCCCCACAAATATGAAAAATTGAAGTACCTAATTTGATCCTAGCTGCTACATTGCCAATTTTTTAACAATGAATTTTTCAAATGAAAGCCAAAGTTTTAAAAATATATTACCCCATCCCCACAAATACAAAAAATTGATGTACCTAATTTGATCCTAGCTGCTACATTGCCAATTTTTTAACAATGAATTTTTCAAATGAAAGCCAAAGTTTTAAAAATATATTACCCCATCCCCACAAATACAAAAAATTGATGTACCTAATTTGATCCTAGCTGCTACATTGCCAATTTTTTAACAATGAATTTTTCAAATGAAAGCCAAAGTTTTAAAAATATATTACCCCATCCCCACAAATACGAAAAATTAATGTACCTAATTTGATCCTAGCAGCTACATTGCCAATTTCATCACGTGAGCGAGCAGTAGAAACCAATGCACCGGGTAAAGATGACTGCGAAGATTCATCCATAAACAAACCTGGTGCACTAATTCTGGAATCTGTGGATATTGGTGATGTTGATAAGGACGGAGAGCGCTTTGGTTCAGCAACAACATGTTGTGGGGGATTGGAGATTGCTTGATGATGGTTTCGCTGCTTAGGAGAATCAGCTATAGGTTTAGGAGGTTCCGGTATAGGTTCTGGCTCAGAGTCTGATTCAGCAACAACAGGAGGTGGGGGTGGTGGCTGCTGCTGCTGTTGTTTGATTTCCTGTAAGTGTAGTCGGGGCAGCAGATGTTCTTCTCTTTCTCTCTCCATCTGGTTAATAAAAACAAATATTTTTCATTTCTGAGAAAAGTTCATGTGGGATAAAATCTTTTTTTTACCTTTAGGTATTTTAGTTGAGAAGTTTAACCATTAACAGAATGAATAAGCCAATTAAATAAATTTAAAAAGTAAAAAGGCATATAATAATTTTTACCCTGGCAACTTCAGTTTCAGCATCAGGGTGGCCTTCATCAAAAAGCTTCCTTTTGATTTCCTCAAACTCCTCCTTTTCTCGCTGTCTATCTCTATTATCCAATTCTTTTTCTTTCTCACGCTCTTTTAATCGTCTCATCAGCCCACTGCCCCTATGATAAGCAAAATACCAGCATTTGGTTATCTTTTTATATGACTGTATTGTTCTTAGATATATTAAAGATGGGTTCTTCTATACCTAATACGCAGGAAGACTGCTACTAAGAGTGAAAAATTATCTTTAGAAAATGTCTAACACAATGCTCCAACCTTAAACTAAAATCTTAGCCAAATTGTCTCAATCAGCTCTCCTCAAATATATAACAGAAAAGTTAAGTTTAGAGAAAACACTTGAGAGTGAATGTATTTTTCTAGTGAAATCTTACTTGTAGAACTTTGGATCATCACGAAGATCATCATAGTCCTCTAAAAACTCCTTTAACCTCCTTGCTTCTCTAGCCTAAAATATATGTTTTATTATTAACACTAAGTTATGAACACTATAAATTAAAATGTATTATTTACAAAACACTACTAAGAGAACAATATTATGGTAGTAATGTATCAGCAAAACATATTCAAACTATTTTTTTCTTTCAGCCTACTAATGTCAGTCTTATGTATACATATTTTAAACATTCACTTGAAATGAGAAAATATCCATGTATACAGGAAAGAAAATTCAATGATCCTCTTCTTTAGGTTAATCAAATAAAAAATTAGATGCTATACCTCTTCTGATTTTCTTTCCTCCTCACGTTCATTTTCTTTTTCATATTCTCTGGATTTTTTTCGTTCTCTGCTTTCCCAATTTTTCAGTCTCTACCAAAAGGAATACATGAAAATTTTATAATTAGTATTTTCATTCATTAACTGTATTGATAATTACAGCAACAATGTAATTTGAGTATTATTACCTCTTGATAGGCTGCTTCTTTTTCACGCAATTTTTTCTCCAATTTCCTTCTTTCGTATGCCTCTTCTTCCTCTTCTATTTCTTTTTCTTTACGTCTGTAACAATCATATTTCTAATTTTTAAATACAACCTACACAACATTATTTCTAAATATATTAAAAAGGAAAAGTTGTGTAGCAAGTAAAAGATTCAAATTAATGCTTTCATATCAACTGTATTAATCAAACAAAATGCTTTATTTTTCTTGTACATCACTAGTAAATCCTATAAATTAACATAAATCCCTAATATTTTTGAATTACATAAGTAAGGTAATGCAAATATTGCCAGAATCAAACACAAGGATTGTTTATGCTGGACTTTGAAAATATCTAATTGCAAATTATCTTTTATTTTTGTTAAAATAGAACAGAAAGGTGTATTTAACATATAACAAAGCCCTTGCATAGCTTAAAAAGTCTACAGATGTGTAGAACCAATAACATTTTTGAAACCCTAATAGTCTACATACTTTGTAAGGAATGAAAAAAAATCAACAAACCATCATAAAAATTAACGTGAGATTATTTTACAGATAAAAAGTTTTTCAAAATGGTAAATTCCATTTCTGATTTTTGTTAATGGTAAAAGCTAGGTAGTGGTGAAATGTAAGAATAGGAAATCCAAGCCTGCAAACTTCATAGCTTCTCCAAAACTGAGCACATCTGCATTTTTCTGTATGATTTTGCATTTTAAAACATATTTCTCTGATGTTCTGCTAAAATATACACTGTTAGAAAAGAAAGTACTTAGTAATTTAAGTGTTTTAAGAAATATTTTTTTTTATTACTGCTCATCCTTGCCAATGATTGGAATCTCTATAAAAACAGCCTAAGCCAAACCTTATACTGGTTGTATGGTATAGCTAAGTCAATATTCTAACTTTCCTAGTAAGAATTCTGAAAGAATATTAAAGATGTAAGTACCTTTCCCTTGATCTATCCCTGCTGGTCATTTCTCTGGACCTTGATCGCTTTCTGGATCTTGGTGCTGGGGATACAGATCGTGACCTGGAGCGTGAAATTCTTGTGCTGGCTCTGTCTCTATCCCTGTCTCTGGTTATGTCCCTGTCTCTTTGTTCTCTGAGCCTTTCCATCCGTTCCCTCTGTCTCTTCTCTTCCATGCGCCTTTGCTCTCTTTCTCTAAGTAAATTACGTTCTCTGTCTTTGCTTTCTTTCTCTTTATCTTCATCATCATCCTTAAAAATGTACAAATATCTAGCCATTAGTCACCAGATTATTATATTAAAAATGATATCTTTTTGTTTCATCAATCATTCCACAATGGAAGATTAATATTTGTGACAAAACAAAGGGGTGAACCCTAAATTGACAAAGTACACTAAGAAGTTGAAACTACTTGAAGACAAAACAATAAGATTTTGCTAAGCTCACAAATTCAAAGAATGAAATCTTCTTACACAAGAGCATAGGAACCATGATAGCATAGATGATAATACATGCATGAGTCAAGACAATTCTCGTACAGAATCACTAAGTGAACCGACAAGTGAATGAGAAAAGAAACTTAAAGTCAACACCACAATGAAGCTAACACAGAGAATGTAACAAAAAGTTCTAGGACTTGAATTGTTTAAATGATAAATTGTATAAACAAGCATTACATGGACTGTGCATGTACTAAACAAAGGGGTGTATACTGATCTTACATATCCCTCAACTCACAGCGACCTCCCGCTGCTTTATAAAATGTCGAATCCTCACAGCAAATGCACATGGAGAAGCTATGTCAGGGCCCAAAAACTCATACGCAAGTGTGTATGCCTGCTGCTTGACATAAAAGGGGCCATTATGCTTCTTAATGGCCTTTTTATTCAGGCCAAATTATTTACAAAAAGATTATGCAATAAAACATATAATAGTTGTTTTTAAATTATTAGTGAACTTTTAACATTAATATTTGTAAAAATATACCAAAACAATGAGCTGTTCAGGGTGTTAAAAAAAAACAATCATGTATATAAGTTAACATTTTGTTATGAAAACATACAAAGTTATCTTGAAAAAAATTATACAGGTGGTTTTATAAAATCATGTTTAGGACAACCATGCACTACCTCAACTCAGATTAGAAGCAAGCACATGGCTTGCTTTACTCCGCTGATCCAAAAAATCTGCACAATGACACTGTCATTTTCAAGGTAAGCCAAAGACACGATGTCTACTGTTGTTTTACTAACCGGTTTCTAACAGCGCCCAAGGAATTTAAACTGCTGTCACAAAATGTAAGGTAGAGGCACTCACCTTTTAAAAAATGTATCAACAATCAGTCTCCAAGCAAGTTTACATTAAAAAAAAAAATTTACTGCTCATCTTAAGTTATTTACTGCTTCTTTTAAGTACAATTATTGAAATATCTTTTGAAATTGAAAAAGAGTCTTAGAATCTTGAATTTTTACTCAAGCACCAGCCAGCACAGAAGAGAATGAGTGAGTTTATTTTTCTTTTAAACGTGTATGCCTAACTTCACTAGTTTATTATCTTCAGGTTGCTTTTTTTTAAAAAAAAAAGGGAACATCAGAATCAAATGTACACCACTAAGGTTTTACCTCAGTTCACCAGACCTCCCTCAGACTAGCTGTATTGAGTTAGGTAACTAGATAAACATGTTATCCAAACACTTACCACCTCCAGCACTTTGAATATATTTATGCATGTGTCTCGGCGGCTTGCCATTTAGCAGAATCTAGTGGTTTTTTGGTAACAAAAAATGCCTATTAAAATTTCTCATATAGAGAAAGATAATTGTTACAACAATAAAGTTTACAATAAAGAAATTTTATTCTATTGGGCTCCACTGTGAACAAAGGAGGGAATGTTTTTTAAATCCTATCTTTCTGAACAAAATCTTTATTTTATGACGGCTCATATTGAAACTAGAAAAAAAAAATTTCCTCTGAACACTGCAATTGAATAAACAATTTGAGATTGTTGACTTCTTTGATCTGTAGTGTAGATAAACTGTGGACCAAAACTTTTGGAGTTATGGGAGAAAAGAAAATATGCCAAAGAAGAGAGATCCGTGACCAGAATGATGACGAAGAAATTCACCCACCTTGTGACGATCTCGAAATTTATTAATTTCTCTGTTGATGATCTCTCTTTTTTCATCTTCCATCTCCATATCATCAAAACCCTAAAAATATATAATGAATGATTTTTAAAACATTTATCAAAACATTGGCATTTTTTCTTTTTAAAATAACATATTTTACACAATAAATACAAGAAGGCTTCTTACAGTGTCTTTAGCATGCAGAAGAAGATCTTTATCTTTTTTAGGCAACACCTTCTCTTTTTCTTGTGCTGTGAATAAAAAGGTTTTCAGATAAGCCCTATAATATGATTAATTTGCAACATAGCAAAGAAGAAACTAAAAGCAAAACACATCAAAGAATTTTTTTTTTTTTAATTTACATAAAACATTTTTAGACTAAAATAGTTTGCATACCATTAGTTACAAACATGTGATCTTAATCCCCACAGTAGGGAAAAGTAAAGTTATATAAGGCGAAGCAGAAAATAATAAACAGCACTATGGATTTATCAACAAAGGTGAAATACCTTTTATTGTGTTTTTTTTGATAATCCACATCAGGAAAAGAAAGACATTTTTTTTTATATATTACACCTTAAACATACCTGGTTCAGAAAGTTTAATGGGTTCCTTCGCTAACTCAAATGCATACTCCCTCATAATAGCTTCAAGACCAGCAGATGCCACTCTATCTTCACGTTTACTATCTTCATCTAGTTCCTCAGAGGATTCTTCCTTAGTTTCCTCTTCTTTTTCCTTTTTCACTTCTGCTTCTTCCTTCTCTTCTTTGGAGTCTCCATTTTCTGTAGACTCTTTTTTATTGGCACTTTCAGCTCCTTTTTTCTTTTTACGATATTCATCTAGAAGAGTTTTTGTTTTAGTGTCAACTTTGACCTGGTAATAGTATAAAGAACATTTATTTGTGATCTTAGTGTATTCAATTCATACTGGAATTAAATAACTTGCAATATTGAATCTTACCATTAGCTTCTTATCTGCTATTTGCCATTCATTGAGTAACCGAATACACCGTAAAGTTGCTTCAGGTTCTTCGTATTCACAAAAGCCAAAAGCTGATCAAAAAGAAAACAAAAGATTAAACCTGGCAGAATATAAAACATACTTAAGATACACAATTTGTAAATAATTTTAAAGTACCTTGCAATTTGCCAGAAGCACCTTGTACTCTCTTCCAGCTAAGAACATTGCCGCACCTTTGAAGCATCTGTTTAATCATCATATCTGGTGCTCTTTCACTAATATTTCCCACAAAAACTGTGGTCACAGGAGGCTTTTCTTCTTTTGATTCAGACTTTAAACAGTTAACAAAAAAGATTACACTACTTATCCAATAATAAAGTTTTTACTAATGAAAAGATCTCTAAAGATTATCACAAGATATAAAAAAAAAGGAAACAAAAAACTATAAAGCTGATTTAGCTATGATATTGAAGTTTGTATATAATTCAATCATGAAAAAATTCCTCAACCTGTTTTAAGTAAAAAAAGCCTTCATAGCAACGTCACAAAAATAGGCCCCTTGCATATACCAAACAAGATAATAAAAAAAAGTAGTTAACTTGAGTCAAACAATGTGAGAACACACACACATACATAAATACCTTTGGAATTTCTTGGGGCACAAGCTTGTTTTGCTTAATTTGTGGCTGCATTTGCATTTGTGGAATCTGAGTAGTCATCATATTCATTGGTCGCATCATCTAAGATCAAGGTTTTAGGTTTTAAAATATCCTCTCAGAATACAGGCATTTAGATATAAGTATACAATTTTAGTATCCCACTACCCAATAACACTGTGTATACTTACTGGAGTCATCATGCCCATTTGCATAGGCATCATTCCAGGCATGGCTGTAAAAGATGAAATTTAAAAATTGTGAAAATACTGTTTTTTTTTCAAAGAAAATCACATTAAAACTAAAACCCTTAAAACATTGTTACATATTGTTTTCAAAATTAAAACTAACTTATTTTAAGCCTTTCATAATATATATATTTAAAAATTAATAAAAAATGATTACTCATGGGGGTAAAAGCAAAGCTTTGTGGCATCATACGAGGCCCCATTCCTGGCATTCCCATCGGTGTTCTACCTGGAAATGACATGATCTGAAAAGACATTAAAAGTTGTATAGGCTGTAAGTTGAAATTGTTAAAACCCTGCTATAATAGTTAATTACTAATAGACTGTGAAAACGTGAAAAATGAGATATTATTATAATTCACTTTAAGTTCATACTTGCTAAGCTACATAAATCAAGTAGGCTTAAAATAATTTGGTCTAGGGCCTATGCACTCTTTTAAATTAACAGGGATAAATATCAGGAGAAATACCATTTGTATTTTAATCAGTTATTACTCATGTTTCTATAATTAAGAACAAAGAAGAAAAAGACATGTTTCCATCACATTTTTTTTCTGTTTTTAACATCACAGGCAAAATCTAGGAGGAGGTAACATGACTTTTTTCTTTCTGCAAATTTGTCAAAAAACTTGCAATCAAACAAATCAAGCTTCTGTAAGTCATATTAGATCTAGAAATCTAATTGTTATCTAGTCTAGAATCTACTAATCTAGATTCTAAGATTAGCGAGCAGCTTGCCAGTTTCTCTCAGGGAAACATTTTTTCTCATTTTATTTGCAGCCATGAAATCATGGGCTGTTGCTTGCTAGTCCGGTTTATTTTCTGGTTTTATTGTTTTCATTTGATTTTCTAGACTAAAATCTAGTCTAGAACTAAACAAAGCTGTAGAGCATAGTGTATCATTTATACTGTCTACCTAGACTCTATTTTATTTTTATTTTACGGTTGAACGTAAAGTCTAAGTGTAACTGTAGTCTAGTTCTGTATCCACTCGTGTACTGCGGCGTAGGGCAGGTTGTTTTTCTCGGCGAAGGTCTAGCCCGCAAGCTTGCAACTCAGTTTATGTAATAAAACGAATAGATCTAGATCTACGTCTTACATACAATGAGTAAACTACGTCCGAATATTTAACTAATTTAAACAATAAAAATAAACGTTTTTAGGTCAATATTACCTGTAAATGTTTTAAAATGTTCAGCCGCTCAACTCAATAACTTGCCAACAGAATATTCAAGATGGCCGCTACCAAGCAATATTTGATGGCCGGATTTTGTTGTACAGGATGGTAAATGACGTCATTTTAAATTTGTATTATTAAGAATCTAGTCTTAAGTCTAGATCTAGATATCTAGATCTAGACTAAGGTTTTAAAATCATAGAAACGAAATTAATTTTGATGCATCATTTGTATAACACGGTTGATTTTAAAAAATTATAAATTAGATTTAGATAGGCCTAGTCTAGATTTAACTAAAAGAAAAAAAAGATTAATAGGCCTGTCTCCTTTGGGCTTTGGTCCTTTAGATTTTCCTTTACTAAAAAAAAAGACGTAAGCCTACACCGTACACAGTCAGTCTCAGAGTCAGTGCACCCTGTCAAGTGCAACATCTCTTTTATCCTAAATACTAAATACTGTTAGTAGAATAGATCTAGATCTAGATCTACAATAAAAATAAATATCAGAATAGATTTAGACTAGCTAGGCCGCCTAGGCCTATTTCAACTAGATCTAGAAATCTAGTAACTAGACTAGATCTAGACTCTAGTATTTAAAATAAAGATTAAAGATCAATGCACTTGTGTAAAAACTTGTATTTAGACCTAATCTAGATCTAGAATCTAGATCTAGATTCTAGATCTATGTCTTCTTACACACATGACTGACCTGGTTTTTTTTTATTTCGGCCTAAAATCTAGATCTAGATCCATATCTTAACAATTTTTTAACACACTGACACACTGCCATATTATATTGAATCAATTAAATAATATTTAAAAAAAGAACTTAGGTTTTGTGTTAATCAGAAGGTATTTTTATTTCCAGGAAAATGAACTTTTGACAAACTTAACAATATATTATATATACCAGCTAGGAATGCTGTGTTAAGAAAGGTTGATGTAAGATGGAAAACATTACAGATGTCCACATCACATCTTTAAAACAGTCCAAATATTTAACAGCTCATTCTTTACATTATGTACAGGTAATTTTAATATGAGCTTTTTTATGCATTAGTATTGGCATGCTAAATATCATAAAACAATTTGTTTACATGTCAAGGGAGATGGGAATCATACTATTGTTTAGGTTGTGTGTGGTAGTGGTTCTTGTTTTGTTTCTTAAATAATTAAAATAAATTTTATACACAAGATTCTGAGCTAGAAATTTACACATTTTTGTCTCCCTTTATCAAGCAAAATATTTGATAAAATTGAATGTTTATTAACATTAAAGAAAGATAAATGAATATTGCTTTTTTATTGAATAAATTAATAAGGTTTAAAATCAATAGTTTATTTTTCTTGATGTTTTCATAATACATCAGTTTTCATTTTATTTTGTAAGATATTTATGTTGATAAAAACAAAATGTCATGAAATTTCTATCATATTTAATAGTACATTATATATTTGTTTAGAATTTAAAAAATGGACATAAAAAACATTAATTTCTAAAACTTACACCTTACAACATCAGTAGTTTAATTAAGCAAAGTATAACTCATTTATTCCATAATTAATTATCATTGCTATTGTAATGTATGTGTAGTCAGATAATTGTTATAAGTAAATACTATTGTTTTTTTTTTTTGCAGTCTGAAAAGAAAAAGGTGTGTGATTGTGTAACTGAACATTCCGAGTGAGTTCATTAATTACTTGTTAGTTTTATTTAAATAATCTACTTACGTCACACCTTGTTTCTTGTTTTGCAACAATGAGTCACAGGATAAAGGGTTTTATTTTTGTGTTGTAGTATCAAAGATAAATGCATCAGAATTTGATCTGCACTGTTGATGTATGTTAAGATATGTTATTTCTTTCTCATTTTTAGTGTCTCCATACTGCTGTTTAATTCCTCAAGAAATGTCTTTATATTTGTGAAACAGTTCAGACCAGGTAAGCAGTATAGAATTATAAACTGCTTAACTGTAGATTGACCATGTTTCTGACAAATTATAGGCCTAAGCTTGTTAAATTATATATATGAAAGATGGGAGAGGAGTTATTTTATGCTGGGTATCTGCAGAGGCGTAGCGAAGGGGGGTGCGGACAACACCGGGCGACACCATTTAGGGGGGTGACACCAAGGCAAAAAATAGCAAAATATATAGAGAAAAACGTGAGGGGGGTGCAAATTGAAAGTTTGAGGGGGGGTGCAAATCGAAAATTTGAAAGTTTGTCCCCGGGAAGGGTCACTACGCCTCGGGGGGGTGACACCATTAAGTGTCGCATCGGGTGACACCCGACCTCGCTACGCCACTGGGTCTCTGTATTATATATTGTATTTCATTTTATTTTTTAACTTGACGTTTGTTCAATATATGAAGTCTGGGAGGGCAGTAGCATAACTCAGCAATTAGAGAATAATTATTATCTATTTATAACTATAATTCGCGGCCCCATGTGATTTGGGCACAAAAGGTAAAAGATTATGATAATTATAATTCAACTTTCAGAGGGCCTAATTATGTTTCAGCTTTCTGTATGATCTATGGCCTGTGTGTAATCTTGTGTATGTAATTTATTCTAATAATGAATGACCCAGATGTCTATGAAAAATAATAATTTATTCAGTGTGTTTTAAATTATTTTTTTTTTAAATTTGTATATCATTGTTTAAATTAGAGTTAAAAAAAACTATTTGTATTATATTTTAAACAATAGCTGTATAATATCATATAATTAGTCATATAATTAGTATCTCATTTAATGAAACTATTTTTATCTACATCAGGCCTGCATCTTTACATATACAAATTAGAGCAATTCATCACCAATGCTTTTAACGACCTCTTTAGCCATGTATATTTATATCTTACAACTAGTTCTAAATCACCAATATTTATAAATGACCTCTTCAGCCACACATCTTTACATATCATAATTAGAGCAAATTAATCACCACCATTTTAAATGACCTCTTCAGCTGTATATCTTTACAACAGCAGTACTGAAGTTTTGGGCGAGAATGAAGTGGTAAACACGCTGCGACACCCGGGGTCATTAGGTGTAACAATTGAGCTATGTGCTGGCCTGGTGGACAGGGACGAGCCACTGGCCGACATAGCCAGGGCAGAGGTCCTTGAGGAGTGCGGCTATCTGGTCCCAGAGGGGAGCTTGCGGAAAATTACCTCTTGTCGGTTGGTAACTTTAATGGTATTTGTGTGTTGGTAACTTGACTGGTATTTGTGTTGGTAACTTTACTGGTATTGTGTGTTGGTGACTTTACCTGTATTATGTGTTGGTAACTTTATGTGTGTTGGTAACTTTACTGGTTCTGTGTGTTAGTAGCTTTACTCTGTGTTGTGTGTTGGTAACTTTACTTGTATTTGTGTGTTGGTAACTTTACTGGTATTGTGTGTTGGTAACTTTACTGGTATTTGTGTGGTGGTAACTTTACTGGTATTTGTGTGTTGGTAACTTTACTTGTATTTGTGTGTTGGTAACTTTACTGGTATTGTGTGTTAGTAACTTTACTTGTATTTGTGTGTTGGTAACTTTACTGGTATTTGTGTGTTGGTAACTTTACTGGTATTTTTGTGTTAGTAACTATACTTGTATTTGTGTGTTGGTAACTTTACTGGTATTGTGTGTTGGTAACTTTACTGGTATTCTGTGTTGGTAACTTTACCTGTATTGTGTGTTGGTAACTTTTACTTGTATTGTGTGATGGTAACTTTACTGGTATTTGTGTGTTGGTAACTTTACTGGTATTTGTGTGTTGGTAACTTTACTGGTATTTGTGTGTTGGTAACTTTACTGGTATTTGTGAGTTGGTAACTTTACTGGTATTGTGTGTTGTTAACAACTAACTTTACTGGTATTGTGTGTTGGTAAATTTACATGTATTTATGTGTTGGTAACTTTACTTGTTCTGTGTGTTGGTAACTTAACTTGTATTATGTGTTGGTTTGTAACTTTGCTGGTATTGTGTATTGGTAACTTAACTTGTATTGTGTGGCAAAGTTTTGGTAACTTTACTTGTATTGTACTTTGGTAACTTTATTGTGTGTCGGTTATTACTGTGCATTGGTAAATTTAATAATATTTTGGTGCTGATAGCTTAACTGGCATTTTAAAGTGTTATTATGGAAAAGTGGTCTGGACTTGGTAATGTGTTATGTCAATTACTTGAACTTTACAATTAAAGAGGTGTTTTAAGTTTTGAAATGAAAACACTATTTTGCAAAGAATCTTTTGTAAAAAGTTTAAATAAATGAATTCCTTAAGACATCAGATTAGTTTTTAGCCATGGATGAAAATTCAAGGCTTGTTTACTTAAGAAAACCACAAAAGTTTAAATAAACTATAGATGGCGCCACATTACTGTAATAAATTATAACGAATTGTAAATAAATTGCCTTTCTATAAATAAATAATTTATTATGATTTGTATAATTATTTAAAAATGGGTAACTAATTTGATGAAGAAAAAAATGTAGTTAAACATAATAACACAAGACAAGCTTGAAATATTTCTCATTATATTGTTTATTATTAATTTTTTATTCATTTCTAGGAATTCCTATGGTTGTTGTGTTTGTATCTTATGAAAAAAATATGTGCATGTTTTTCATTAGCAGATTTCTAACAAAGAAAAGTTTTGCCAATTGGAGTGTTGCCAGATTGTAATAGTAATTTTATATTTGGCAGAAATGGCTCCAGCATTACGGGAGCACTGGTGACTTTGTTCTACGCACAAGTGACAGATGAGATGAAAGTGAGCCAGGGAGGTGGGCTAGAGGAGGAAGGGGAGTTGATTGAAGTTGTTGAACTGCCAGTAGGACAAGCTTTGGATTTGATCTATGATGAGAGTGTCAACAGGGAAGCAACTCTGTTGCTTGCTTTACAATGGTTTTTTAGTGAAATCTGGCCAGTTTTGAAGAAAACCAACATTTCTGGAAACCTCCTTTAGAAATATTTTTTAAAAATCCATTAAATCTAGATCTATACCAAAGACATAAAGAGCTAACTTAATAGTGTGTTTGTTTACTAAAAGTGTGTCTACACAGCAAAAGATAGTGTATAGGAGCAAAATTTTTATGTCTAGTTGCTGATTTGTCCATTTTTTTCTATGGTTTGAGGATGTTAGAAGTGAATGGTATTGTTTTCATGTGATGAGCTTGGATATAAATAATGATAGTAATTTATTCTGTCAGTTTCATTTGTAACAAATTAAATAAAGAACACAAATATCTAAAACAGTTTTGACTTTGAAATATTTTATTGTCTTCTGTACTGTGTGTAGAATAACAATTAAAATATTGCTATTCTTTGATTTATATATATGTAATTGATATATATATATATATATATATATATATATATATATCGCTTTCCTAGAACCAGCCTGTTCTAACTCCATTGTTTAGTTTATTGCCAGATGTATACATCCTTGTGTTCTAAATATACTAGCACATGGCATAAAATTTCGTGGTCATCTCTCACCTTGTTACACAACTCGTAATTTTCACCAAGTTCTTAATATATGAATGGTAAGGAAAACAACACTTTAAAGCCTTGTTGTGAACATTTTTGAGAAGTGGAGTTAGAACTGTATGTATATATATATATATATATATAACCAAAATGTATGTAATTTAAAATAAATTTATTTTTAATACTTCCTGGCATAGGCAATAGACCTGCAAGATTATATATATATATATATATATATATATATAAATATATATATAAATGTATATAGTTTAACCATGTTGTTTGATAACTACATATAGCTCATTCAGTCCTAAATCTCTAACCCTTATTGGGTTTACAGACATTAAGCATTTTATCTGATTTATTAGTAATAATGGACATCACTTTATTTGATGCGGTCTTTGGTACAATGCATGATCATTTTTATCCACCGTTTAATTAAGTTTCCCTCAATTAAATTTATTGCATCTCATTTGCATAAATCAGCGTGGCTCTGTTTCAAGGAAAAAATAAAATCTTATATAAATGCAATTTAACAAGAATCAGTATCTAAGAGCTAACTAGCAGCGACGTCAGATAGAGGCTGAATATCCTAAAGAAGTTGTCAATGAGTCCTCGGTTTAAATAATGGACGTTGTCGTAAACTGTGTGCCATACACCGGGAAAGGGCGTGGATATGAGATGAAGAACGGGAACTCCTGTTGGAACAAAGTAAAAATAAATTTCATGAGTTATCGGACTTTGATTACATTTTTTTTCACCCATCGTTTAGTTTTTGGAATAAACTTTCGATTTGGACAAACTAATCAAATAATTATTTACTAATGGCTGGTTTAAAAAATGCTTTGATTATTCTCTCAAACTATTAAATCATGCTACTGAAATCTGTAAACATAAAAATAATTGATGTTTGCTCTCTATTGGTAGCTGAATTTGGAGGGGGCTGGTTTTCAGTGTCTCTTCCAGATATTTTTCTCCGGAGTGGGGGGGGAGGGGGGGGGGGCGGACTAAAAAAGTATATATTTTCTAAATAAATTCCATTTCTTTCGGATGGGGGGGGGGGGGGGGGGGGGGCGGTAGACTTTCTTCGCCCCCTCACCCCGAAGAGATGACGGGAAGAAACTCTGGTATCGTACGCTGTATTGTATATCGCTGTTGGATGGTAATGAAAATTGAGGTATTGGTGAGTCTGACTTTCAGTGACGATGGGAGAGTGGATGACGTCAAAGCATGTTGTTAGGTAATAGGTAGCCTAAACTAAAGTAAGTGGGGATACTGTGTCCAGGTTTGCTCATTCAAGAAAAGAACTCTCATTACGGTCAATTTACCATCAAGTGACCTTTTGATAAGTTTCGGTTACCATGTCAAAGGTCAACTGGTAACGTTTACCGGAAAAATAGACCTACCTTGCTTAACTCCCTATTGATGCTCCTTACTAATTGTTTTTACTATTGTAATAAAAAAAAAAGCGTGAATACTCCCTGTCCCCCCCTCCTATTGACTTAGATGACCCCCACCCCTTTCCATGATGTACGCTATACCGTTCACATTTTCCAGTTAACATATCAATACCATTAAAGGGAAGCTACTCGTGTCTATTTATAAATCACATGATTATCTACCCTGTAGTTTTGGTTGGACTCGCTCACACGGGGCCTATTTCAGGAGAATGTAAAAAACCGACCGAATCAGAATCGACGCGGAAGAATTTAACCACGGCTATTGATTGTTTGACTTCGTAAAGGTTTCAAATGGCCAGATAAATACAATGGCTTGGGTAGGCTTGCCTTTGTGAATGAATGGCGTGTGATCGTCCTCTACCATCTCGGCCATACCGGATGCGTCAAAGATGGTGCGCGTGTGTCTTCTACTCAGCTGACGAGAGGTTCTTAGACATTGTTCTGTGAATTTAAAAACATGGGATATTTTAGGATATCATTAAACATGGGATATGTGACAGGGGTCTCCAAACTTTTCAGTCCGATGGCCGCATCAACTATCCAGGACCAGTTTCTTCCAGGCATGTCTTTGATTTTTCTGGGCAAAGTTCCTCAGCCATCACTAACAAACGTTTTTTCCGTGGACAAAAAGATCTCCGCGGGCCGGATGAGAGGACATCGCGGGCCGCATCCGGCCCGCGGGCCGTAGTTTGGAGACCCCTGTGTTAGTCTATCATCAAACATTGAATATTTTTGGCTATCACAAAAAACAATGGAATATTTTAGGCTGCTCCAAAAAAATAAAACATTTTTAAAAAATGGGATATTTTAGTCTATCATAAAACTTGGGATATTTTAGGCTATTACAAAACATGGGATATTTTAGGCTATTACCTAAAAAAACATTTTTTCTTCTTCGTTCTTAATAGGTTGATAGTGTTGATAGGTATTTCCTTCAACACAATTAAGGTGGAAGAGTCATTGAATTTACGGGGGATGGACACTGGTTAAATGTTATATTTTCTTACATAAATTTTGTTTTTCAATCTGGGGGAGGGTGCGACTACGACGTGCACTGTGGCGAAGAGATGCCTGAAAGAAACCCCCGGCACAAACTTCCTATATACGTGAAATATTATTGTTTCAGGCCATGCTCAGTAAATTAAGTTAAGATGTATCATTTTATGAGAAGGACAATGGCTGGATGGGCTAAGGCATTACTATCAATACAATAACCATAACCGTCAATCGTGGCGCTAATCATACATGTATAGCGCTAGCCTTGATGCTAATCCTTGCATCAAATGGGATACCTTAGAAAAACAACACACAATTAGATTCGATTTTATGGCGTTGGGTATAACAGCTCAAGTCTTTTTTTTATCAACGATGAAACATATTCAGTGGGGAAACGTATACAGCTAATCTACTAGTATCTGTTGGTTACCCTTTCGAATAATACGGGGGGTGTGGGGGGGGGGGGTGGATGAAGGGAAGGTCCATATGGTAGGTAAAGTAGAGTTCATATGTTTCAGCAAATGAAGGAATAGTGTTGTCATCAAAATGCCCCGACGCCTATACATTCCCTAACGCAAGCTTGGTTGAATTAGGGAAGGGCAATAAAAAAAACCGGGATCCGAACTCGAGACTTAAGTTTTAACAATTAAATATATATATATATATATATATATATATATATATATATATATATATATATATATATATATATATATATATATATATATATATATATATATATATATATATATATATATATATATATATATATATATATATATATATATATATATATATATTTCTATGGAGATTCAACACTGGAGGCGCCTGTCAGAGCTGGTCCATTAAAACACACGTAGACAGGAAAGCCCAGTGGGAACAGAAACTATTAGCCAACGTTTCTTCTTGGACTTCCGCGGAAAAACCATAACGTATTTTAGTTCTGATTTATGACCCGCCTACTTCCGTCCCTTCACTTTAGCTCCGCGTCATTAGTGTGGGTAATTACAAGTGTAAGTCTATTTATAGCTTGGGTGTTTTCCCCGAGGGCACGCAAATGGTCGTGAGTTTCTGATATCTTTGTTTACGTGGTGTGGTTTTGGGTTGTACTTTAATGACCGGTGGGGGTGGGAAGGAGATAGGAGAGCGGGGGGAGGAGAGAGAGGGGAGAGAGAGGAAGAGAGGGGAGGAGAGAGGGGGGAGAAGGGTATATAAAGAGGGGAGGAGAGGGAGAGAGAGAGAAAGAGAGAGGAAGAGAGGGGGGAGGAGAGAGAAAGAGAGAGGGGAGAGGGAGAGAGATAGGGGAGAGGGGTAGAGAGAGGGGAGGTTAGAGAGGGAGGAGAGGTAAGGAGAGAGGGAGGGAGAGAGAGAAAGAGAGAGGAAGAGAGGGGGGAGGAGAGAGAAAGAGAGAGGGGAGAGGGAGAGAGATAGGGGAGAGGGGTAGTAGAGAGAGGGGAGGGTAGAGAGGGAGGAGAGGTAAGGAGAGAGGGAGGGAGAAAGAGAGAGGGAGGGAGAGAGAAAAAGAGAGAGAGGGAGAGAGAAGAGATGGAGAGGGTAGAGAGAAAGAGAGAGGGAGAGTGAGGGGAGGAGAAAGGTGTGAGAAAGGGGAGGAGAGAGGGAGAGAGAAAGAGAGGGGCGAGGAGAAACAATGAGAAAGAAAGAGAGAGGGGAGGGAGAAAGAGATGGGGAGAGGGAGGTGAGAGAGAAGCGAGGAGTGAGGAAGAGCCGAGAGCTATTAGAATAGATCACGCGATATTAAGAGGGAGTTGTCAACTGCTGTGAGGCAATGTGGTTGAGGAGGTAGCACAGAAAGTAGCAGAGTTCAAATCTCAATGTTAAACTCTTCTTCTTAAGCCTAATTATAGTACGCGAGACCACGTGATATGGAAAGTAGAGAGCATGGTCATAGTACACACACAATTCAAGAATCTCTTCATAGGCCTTGGTTTAACAAATAGCTGGACTCTACTTCATCTGGACAACTGACCCACCTATCTGTTCATCACAAGAAGACAACAACACACCACCAATAGACACCCCAGTCGCCAAGACACCCTCAGTGATATCACCCTCCCTATCAGACCCCAGACATTTTACCTTGCGTGCGAGACAGACATTACATGTAAGATACACCCCCTCTGTCGCTAGCTATAAATAGACACTCGCCCCCCCCCCCCCCTCCTGACACGTATGTGTCATGTGTATGGTGCGAGCTTTTTTTAAACAAAAATATGTTCATTCCAGAACACGGGAAGTAGAGTTGACCTGCCACACACGGTCAAGTCACGTGGTGAGGAGATAAGTCACGTGATGAGCACAACGCCAATTTTGCATGTCTCACGGCGACGCCCACAAAACCTTATCACCAGCATCGGCTGATCTTCTTGGTGTGTTATGGTGACATTTCACGGTTTGGTGAGGTTTTTACAATGTACAAAATATTCGAGTTTTGAATATCATCGAGTTTCTAGTTGCAAACGGTTCGGTCCGGTCTTTACACCATACGAACATAAAACAATAAACGTTTTTGTAAAGGTGGAAAACATAGGGTTAAACAATACATCAGCGCAGTGGCGTAGCAAGGTCGGGTGTGGCACTTAATGGTGTCACCCCACCAGAGGCGTAGCGACCCTTCCGGGGACAAACTTTCAATTTGCGATTTTCACCCCCCCCCCTCAAACTTTCGATTTGCATACCCCCCCCCCCCCTTCCTCAAACTTTCGATTTGCACACCACCCCCCCCCCCCTCAAACTTTCGATTTGCACCTCTTGAAAGATTATTTAACACTCGTATTAATTACTTAATTAAGTGGAATTATAATTTTTCTTTATATATTTTGCTATTTTTTGCCTTGGTGTCACCCCCCTAAATGGTGTCACCCGGTGCGGTCCGCACCCCCCGACCCCCCCCCCCCTCGCTACGCCTCTGCACTAGCGTCTGTCTACTCTATGAGGCGAGCGTTGGGGGACACTGTCTCTCACTAAATATTTTAACCATACGGAATCAGCAGACCTTCCTAGTGAGCAGAATTTCTTTCAGGCATCTCTTCGCCTCCACGAAGAAAGTCTACACCCCCTTTCCCTCGAACGAAATAGAATTTATAAAGAAAATATATGCTTTTACCAGTGTCCACCCACCCCCCTACGAAAATTTAAAGTGCCCCCCCCCCCTCCCTTCTGGTGGAAAAAGTCTGAATGAAACACTGCTAGTGAGTTTCTGGCGATAAACGGTTTGTCCGAGTGTTTACACTATACGACCAGAAAGAAGATCTTGATTTCGGTAATGTTATTAAGTGAGTTAAGTGAAAAGCATGTTTAGCTACGTATTACACCCAACGCCGTAGCGAATACTTTGGGCAGGTTCACAATTTTCTCTTAACTGAAAACAATTTGTCATGTCGAGATTTTGCAGACCATGCCAACAAAAATATAACCACAAAAAAAAAAAACAAAAAAAAAAAAACAACAACCAAAAATAAAAATAAACGCGGCGTTCCTGGGGCCGACACCCCCCCCCCCTTGTAACGCCACCGATTACAATTTGTTATGCTCGAGATTTAGCACACCCCACCAACAAAAAATGTGCATAAAAAAATCAATGCGTCGTTTCTGGTGTTGATTCCCCCACCTCCCACCTCCCCCAAGTGACCTAGTTACGCCCCTGATTATATTTTTCATACTCGAGATTAAGCAGATCATGCCAACAATAAAAAAAACAACAACAACAAACAAAACAAAACAAAACAACAATGCGTCGTTTCTGGGGTGGATCCCCCCCCCCCACCTCCCCCACAGTAACCTAGTTACGCCACTGATTA